TATCATAAACATTTGTATACAAGAAAATTCGGATTTATATATTAAAGAAATTATCCAAAGCACAATAATTTTCGATTCCATTCCTTTCTAATTTCATTGAAAAATAATAAATATTGAGAATGTTATACTAAAAAGAAATATAACATAAAATTCATATGAAACAAGAAAACTAATTGACAATAATTCTAAAAATTGAAGTAACGAAAATAATATAAGAAATATTTAAAAATATAAATATAAATATAAATATAATAAACTGGTATAATATGTGATATTAATTAGATCACTATATACAAATAATTCTAAAACTATATAATTAGTATTCCTAAATTTTAATCCTACTATTAAAATAATATTTCTTTAATAATATAGGTAATTACGCAATGTATATTTTATAATATTCTATATTATATATTTTATGCAATGAAATATATAAATTTTAATGAAGTTCCATTACATAACGAAGAGTCAAAATAAATGTGACGCAACATGGCGCCAACAAGAGTGTTACGTTTTTAACAACACCCGTTGCACATGGTACTATCCAAACATCGGTTTTCGCGTCTATTTTCGATAGCGACATCATCTGCTCACGATATCCGAGCATTCACGAACCTCTTTTTTTATCGTCAACTCTGCTCAGCGAGCTGCCAATAAACTCTAGGCTGTGATTTAAACCGGTTGTCAATATCTACTGTCGTCAGATTAAAATACTCCCAATCACATCGAATCACGCTCGACATGCTGCGAAAGTGTCACAATTACTGCTCGTTTGTCGGATCAATGGTGCATTTAATTAGCAATCATTGACGTCCGTGTGCGAACATTCTCTCCACTCTCGATGTATTTCCATGAATCTTCGTTGGAATGGTTGTTAAATAAGTCTTGAAGGATTCGTGATTTCCGATTTTATAATATTTAATCTAGTTTAGAAGGTTATGTAAATTTTTATCTACACGAGAAGTGTTAATATAAGTATATGAATGTTTATATATTACATCTGACCAATGAATTAATACTTATTCCAAAGAGGAAAGCAAAAATCTGAATTTAGCAATATTTATTTATTAATTACTTAATGATACTCCCTATTTTAGTTTTCTTTTATAAAATTTACTTCAACTTATGGCTTCAGATCTTCATTTTCCGAATATTTACAAAATAAACAAACTTTACAAATACAATTAATTAAAATAAAGAAAATGTAACAAGTATATTCGTTCGATTTTCGTTACATGAAGAAAAGCAATCGAATCGCTGGATGGTTGTTAAATACCCAAACAGAATCCGTTGAAAGTGACACGATAGTTTCTTCTCGTGCAAGGTTACTAACAGCTCATTAAGTTCGGCATAATTATCCGGTAGCACTCGATATCTAAGCTTTATACCGGTTTTTCATGCAACTCACCTCGGTATTCATCGATCACTTCCTCGTCGGGCGATTCGTTCGTTAACCCGTTGACGTGTTTACATGGGCCCGAATCGTCGGCGGTTATTTTCAGAATCGGAAACGCGGAAATTAACGATCGACGAAGTTTCACAGACATAATCGATCCTCCTGCGCGCGATATTTCGGTTGCTCCTAGGATAAACAAACGCTCGCTGCGATGGTTTCTCGGTGCTCGCTTACATTTCGCTTTCTGAAACGATTTGAAATAGACACTGGGAACAAGGAGCTAGACTGTTCTATTTGTTTCTAAAATTTCTTTCATCTTTCAACATTGCTTTATTGGTAGAAAACAATATGGTATTATGTGCTGAATATTCTGGGTGCTTTTTGTCAAATATTTTTCTTAGAAAGTTGGTAGATTTTAGATATTTTAGAATCATCAAAAATTAGAACTCATGGAAATAGAAAAACCTGCACGGTATTTAATAGAGTTAATAGAGTTAATATTCATTCATTTGTGCATTGAATTCAATGAACATTTCTTTATAAAAAGTAATAATTAGTAATAATTACTTTATTATAAATATGAAATTATAAACATTTAAAAAATTAGTAATAAAAGTATACAAAAGTTATTGAAAACATAATAATCAAAATAAAATAATTGTTTTCAATCATCGTTAAGTAATAAATAAATATCAATTAGCGAATAATTATCATTTTTGCTATCCTTCATATTTTTATTACTAATTTAAAGAAGCTATAATTTCAGATTTATAATAAGTTAATTATTTTAACAAATTAGTACTTTTCAAAACTTAATAATTGATGCACGTCACTAATAGAAAATGTTTCATAATATATTATTTAGCATTTACGAAAGAATCTATAATTCTATCAAGAATCTATAGAAAATCTATGAGTACTCGATATCATTCAATTAGTGAAATCCATCTTCTCCCTATTGTCCACAAATTTTTCGGTATCTTCATTGAACAATTGATTCAAACGATTCAAAGAAAAATCTATTGAAGCATGTCAGACCGAAGGTGTTTCAACTTGCCCCAGATAGATTGTAGAAGGCAATTTGCGCATTCCGTCGTCATGTTTGGCCGATGCTATCCGAGATCTGAATAAAATCACTCGTCCCGATTTCCCGACTGGACTCCGATGATCACTCCGTTTTTGGATCATTGCGTATAATCCCGTAAAAGGTATCGACAGAACGTTTACTACTGCGCGTCGGTGTGCCATTATTGCCTTTTACAAACTCGCGATGGAAAATCACTTGTAAATATTATCCCATATGAAATTGCCATTTTTGGAAATCGGAACGAAAACGATGTCATAAATCTCCTCGATCATGCTCGATGCAACGTTTTTATTGCAATTTATGAAACATTATAACTAAATAAATGCTCTGAGAAAAATGATAAAAAATTGTTGATTGAAATGAGTAATATAAATATACATTTGACTGAAGTTTAATTAAAAAGAAACTCGAGCAAAACTTGTTGAGCAATGTTATTTCTATATACTTATTTAAGGCATTTTAATTAAGAGAATCTTATGGATAAAGCACGTATTTTTTCACATTGATTTACAAATTGAAACAATAATAGTTATATTTTTCTTTTTACCGAACCGCATTAACGAGCTTTTGCTCTTTTGCCTCATTTAGAGCGGCGAATGGCTCAGGCTGAAGGTACTGGAAGTCCAGCCGGAATTAACGAAGCTCGGCGCCTCGGTCGAAGAAGCTACTGAGCTTTCGAGTGCACACGACGAAGTTCTGCTTCGATTACAGGTAAGAACGTAAACAAGTACACTGAATATTCGTCATCAAAGGATTTAAATATCATTTGGGAATTAAAGAAAATATCGGAAGTGTATATAGCAAACTAGATTGGTTTGCACAGCATCAATGACATTCAAAACTTTTGCTGAAGGAATGATAGTTTCGTTATTATCAGCTCTCATAGGTAAAAGCTGCTTGTTCACAGTCTCTTGGAACACTGGTTCCTACACTGACTTTGATGACATGAACGTGGGAACAATCGAAAGTTGATGAATATTCTGACGAATAATAATAATATGACGAAATTATTTTTGTTATTCAGAGCAAACAGAGCCCAGTGGAGGAATTGCTTAGACAGGCTGATCAGCTGATTTCGAATCAAAGGCCAAGGGCGGAAGTTTACGCAGCGATGGCGGAAACTTTGGGCCAAGCTTGGCACGACGTAAACGAGCTCCTGGAGCGCCGGAAACAGATCCTCGACTGCAACGTATTGTTCCAATGGTATAGTATTTTATTCGTTAACTACTTCTAAATTTTATACTATATACATTTCTCATAATCACGAAAACAAATTCGGCTTATAGAGGGTTAATTTTATGAGAATCGAAGATTAGGAATTCTATAAGCAGCAAATATTATGAATAAATTTGACGATTTCTAATAATTATGAATAAATAGGATGAGCTTTTGTGAAGGAAATTATAGTGGATTAAGAATTCAGATAAATTCAGAGAATTCAGTTCAATTACTGAAAAAAAACGGCCACTTTCTTACAGCCGCGCGGAAGAGTGTCGAGAAAGCATGAGGGCCCTCGAGATGACGTGCAACGACACGCTGCTACCGATCGAAATCGAGGCAGTGAAGAATTTCCTGACGAAGATCCAGGATCTTCGGAAGAACATGTTGGAGGCGTTGAGGGGCGCCCTGCAGGAGGGAAAGAGCTTATTGGACAGACTGAAGGAGATCGCGAATGAAGGCTCCTTGGACTCCAGGCCAGACAGAATTAAACTGGAAGCTGATCACGGTGAGCGGCCGTAATTAATGTTACCCGCTGGACAAACGTATAATCGCGATCAATGTCAGTGTTTTCATCGCACCAACGTTCCCTTTCGCTTTTATTTAATCGATGACATAACTGATGTTTGCCTTTCGCGTGCCGACACGTTCCACTGTGCCGCTTGAAGTACGGATTGAAGTAAACAACTGGGCTCTGTGATTCGTAGACTGCGGAATTTTATGCGTTCACAGTTGCAACTAATCTAAGAATGTTTCGAAATTTGAACAAGTTGAATGCCATGGAGGTCACCGGTGATCCAAATCGAATTACTATAGTTCGCTCAATTAAACGATGATTATTTGAAGACATTTCTGTATTGTAAATAATGCTATCTAATGCGGTGACATTCAGGTAGATGAACGTGCAATAATAAAAATGCAATTCGTTCAAATGATTTAATATTATATTTGCTCCATTTTGTGAATTTTGCTGTATGAAATCGCGCGGCATTCAACATGTTAATGAAATTATTTTGTAATTTAATAGCATAGAGGTTGTTCGTGCACGCTGTCTAGGCAGTATTAGTGGACGTGGCGTAACACTTTCACACGTCGAATTAACCTTGTGTGAAATAGATGTGATGAAAAAAAGGCTTCTCCTTTTCTCGTTCGATAGTGGGCTGTATTTGTTTAATATTGAGTGAAAGGAATGTGTATATGTTTACAAAGTTAAAGTGTGTGTGTTGTCCAGTGAGTACAGCGTGATTGTTATGAACTTGTGATGTATGTCTGTCTGTCTTGTCTCTTAATGTCTCTCTCTATATATAAAAATACTGAGATAGAGCGGTGTCCTTAGTGACAAATCAGAAGGCTAAAACGCTCGGGGTGTTGCTAGTTATAGTTTTTTAACCTACGCTCACATTACTAGTAGTGGAGGTAGGGGGTACGTTGTCCTTTCTGACCTGCAAAGGTACCGGTGGCTGTGCGCTCGGGTTTAGGTTGTTGAGCTGTTGTTTTTTTTATGATATGTATCTTAACCAAATAAACCGTGCCGGAACAGAGGTGTTATTACAGATAGATTAGAGTCTTTAGTAAAGAGCTTTAAATTTTGTTTAATGTTCATTTATATAAACTTATTTCTACAGCTGTGAATTTGAATAAATATTCATATGTTCTGATAATAATTAATGAGCAATTTTCGTGGATTTTTATATAACGAATATGAATCTGAAATTATTTTAAGCTTCCGGATATTGTAGTTTCAGATGAATTTGATATTGAAAAGAATTTCAGTAGATAACGGTACACGATTCGATTAATTATAATCAGATAGTTGTACAGAATGAACGGTGCGAGTAGGATTATGTAAATAAAAGTTCCTATTTTATCTTTATTTTTTAATGTTTTTGGTTAGAGATGTGAAATACTTTCTTTGCATTTCTCAGCCGTGATAAAAGTTGAAAGGTGGTTGGAGGAGCTCCACGACAGAAGACAATTGATCGAGACATCGTATCGCAGTCGCAAGACTCAGTTGGAGCAATGCCTGGCTCTAGCTCTGCTAGCTACCGATTTACGCGATCTTGAAGAGATCTTGAACGACAGGATCGCTGCTCTGTCGAGCAGCTGCGATCAACTCGGTGATTCCGCGTCGAGTGCGGAATTACTTCTGTTCGAATTGAAGAAGTTACAAGCTGAAGCGAAGGTATTTCTATAATATTATATATATTTATTTAATAGTATTTAATAGTATTATAATAATCTATTTAATTCTGTTGAATTCATTTACTATCAGATAATAGTGTTAACATAGCTTAAATATAAATCGAAAATGGAGAATAATGTCTTTATTTGAAATTCGGTTTTACACAAGAAAGACGAATTTTATTTACGATTTAATTATAACTATCTAATAAAGGTACTAGTTAATAGGAATTTGCTTATTTTATAAATCGTTAAAATATTCACTTTGCAGGAATTTCAAGACAGATCGATCAAGATAACGAAGTCGACCGAACGATTAGTGTCCTCAGGACACTTCGCTGGCGAACAAGCGACAGAACAAGCTTATGCTATCCTCGGCGCTGCGGCCGATTATGTGAACGATTTAGACCAGTACGAGTCGTTGTTGAACAGGGCCGTGGCGTTTTTCGATTCGGCTCGATCGGTGAATATCGGACCGCAATATTTAATTTCGTTAAAACTTATACTGTCGAATTACTGAAAAAAGTAGAAAAATAATGTTCAATACAAATTTACGAATTTTATATATTAAAATAATGAAATGCATAAGAACAGATTTATTTATCATAGATGTTTTTTAAATTTTTATATAAAATCGTCTTAGTAGAATGTTTCTTACGTAGGCCATTACGAAATTGGATCAGCTTGAGATTCAGTTGGTGACAACAGAACATCCCCTATATTCGGCCCGATTAGCCCGTTTCCATGCTCAGACAGTTACCACCATAGAAGATGTGACCTCGAAGCCTTTGGCGGAGGGATACGCTCTCCTCGACATCACAGGAAGGGGAGCGCCTGGAGCTGAGGTTAATTTGAAAGATTAAATAGAGTTATTTAGATTAGTCATTAATTCTTTTTACTTAGAATTAATTTCTATTTATGAGAATTTCCTTTTCTTCTTGTCTTGGAAAGTGAATCCTTGACAGTAATAATGATTAAATCTTTTTCTAGTCGTCTATTATCTAACTACCTCTATCTAAATCTCTCTATATATTTACTATCTTAGCTTATCTATTGTTTAACTATCAATTATCTTTTTATCTAATATCTTATTTATTTACTATCTTAGCTATGTACTATCCAACTATCAATTATCTATCTATCTAGTATCTCAGTCTTCTACTATCTAATTATCTAACTATCTAGTATCTCAGTTTTCTACTATATAATTATCTAATACACATCTAACAATTTACTGTCTATCCATTTATTATCTATAATCTACTTAAACCACCTATTAAACCTCTGAACTCTCTCGTAATTCGCACAACTTTCAAAATAAACTCACCGAAACTGACAACAATCCCCAAAACAACAACTGCATCATCTACCCAAAGTTGCAACGTCGTTTCTCAGTTTCCGCCTGTCCCTTTCATTCCTCAGGGCGTAAAGCGCATGGTAGAAGAACTGGAGAACCGCAAGATCAAGCTGATGGAGCGGTGCACCGCCCACGAGGAGGAGAATCTCGAGATATCGAGGATCATAAACATGTTCCTGGCGAAACACGACGAGCTACGAAAATGGCTGGCGAGCATACCAGACGCTTTCCTGCAGGGCCATCAAGATATGGGCAGCGACGTGGCGATGGCCAAGGATTTCTGCCGGTTGCATCGGCAGCTCTTAAGCGATCTCGATCAAAGGACCGACGATGTGCAGCATTTGGAGTTCGAAATACTTCCTGTGGCGGATAGGCTGGAGGAATTGCAGAAATTGGAGTTGAAATCGAAGGCTGCGGAGCTTTTAAACTTTTGGACGAGCACGAGACACCTAATTGCTAAGAGGATCGAGCTGGGCAGCCTTTATTTGCAGTTCCATTTGGACGTGGAGGAATTGACTAGGGAGATCGAATCGGTGGAAAGCGAGTTGACGAGACCAGCCGACATGGCGATGAAAGTCGAGGAGATTGAAAGACGATGGGACCATCTGCAGTCCCTTTACTCAAAGATGACCGGAAATGGAAAGGCGTTCTTGGACGCAGCTGTGAAGGTCAGTTGTTTATGATTTTTCGAACTGAGCCTGTTGGATTAGTTAAAATAATTTACATCACATAACATACGTCACATACGTGTGACGCTCCTGCTTACCGTTGCTATCATGATATTAATCCTTTGCACTAGAACCTTTTTCTCACTGATATTACCAGCAACTCGAAGTAGTTTTAATACAAAAAGCATATTAACATATAAATAAATGATACGTGCATGAAAAGAAAAGTCATTGTGTTTTTTATTTTATTGTGAAAATTATGATTTAATACTGTTACTGGTAAAATGAATTATTTTTCAGATCGACGACCCTTATTTGGATGTACACAGAGCTTGCTTATGCGTTCAGACTCTCCTAGATAAGTTCGCTAACAGACAGTTACAGTTGAAGAGAATCACCAACGAGATTTTGATAGAGAAACGTATCAAGTATGAACGAAGAATCGAAGAAAGCACAAAGGTAAAAAAGCTATATGTTCAAATATATAAAACTTTACTACATTGTTATTACTGTATTCTTAATCTGTGCAGACATTAGAAACGGTAATCAAGTTCAGCGACCAATTATATCCAATAATAAGGACTCTGTCCTCCGAGACATCGGTGATCCTTCAGGATCTACAAAATTCGAAAATGCGAGTTCCCTCTGAATTGAACAAGTCTGCGAACGAATTGGATTCTAGAATTGCAAGCATGATTTCTTTAGATCAAAAAGGTATGCAATTAATAATTTAATTATTTTTAATTGTTAAAGATTACGTATGCTTCTGTACCGAATAAAATTGTCTGAATAGGAGAAAGTCAAATTACCGAAGAGATCCTAAAGAGGCTTCAACAGATGCAGCAAGATCTACGTACAACGGCTCGAGACTACGAATTTCTTTTGGATTCAATGATTTCTGAATTTCAAAATATGAACGAGGTAAAACATTAAAATATCTCGATTACTTGATAATATTATTGCGTTCTAAAATTTATCTTTATGTAATCTCTTTTATCGATTCAGTTTCATTGAAGAAAATAAATCAAAAAATATCTGAAATAAATATTTGAAATAGAATATCAAAAAGTTTCAATATATGCTTCAAATTACTAAAACAAAAATATACGTTATTATATATACGTTATACAACACGTTAATATTATGATAAATTTTTTCAAGCTCAAACGTGATATCGACCAGTTGAAAGTCCAAGCAGAGCAAGTTATGTCCTTAAAGAACTTAATCGAAATAGAAACCATTTCAAGCGAGCTGACCACGAAGCGAAAATGCATTAACGAAAGGCTGAGCCAGCTGAAGAGCAAGATACAAGAAGTGACAGTTAGAATCCGGCGACAAGAACCTTTGGAAGCTGGCGTCCAGGATATCGAGAAATTGGAACGAGCCATGATGACATTAGAATTCGATTTAACTAATTGCGAGCGCCAGATTGAGAACATCGAAGAACATCGACGGACCTGTATTTTTGTCGAGGATCTGGAAAAGATTCACAGTGAACTACGCGATCTAAGCGATCATTTGAAGAATGTGGATGCTAGAATAGGGGAAAATCTTCAAACAGCTAAAGCTGTTGCGAGTTCATTCGTGCAATTCGAGAAGACTGTCTCGGTAAGCATTTCTTTATTATCTGTAATTTATCTATTCACTTATTTACGAATTTATTTATCTATTTAATTATCTATCTATTTATTAATTCATGTATTTTTCTTATATATGTATTTATTTTTCTATTCATTTATTTATCCATCTATTTATTTATGTAATTTTTCAAATTATCATTAGACTGCGAAAGTTTGAATAACTATTTTTTTATACGAATTTTCATATCAACATCACATTATTAGAATTAATTTTTAATTTTAAAAATTGAGTTCACGGATCAGTTTTGCTTGATTAGCTCTTTTTAAATCAAGATTATGTATTATTGTTTTTAATTATATAAACAATACCAGTTAGTAATATTCGAAATTTTTGTTCTGCTTCGTTTGGAATATTATTAAAAATTTGGTAAGTAAAGAATTATGGAAAATGCCTAAAGACAGATATATGTACATGAATAATTTTTCATCTTTAACAAATAACTATTTAATATTTAAGGGGTACACGATTGTTTTTAGATTCTGGAAGAAAGAATTGAGACTTTCGTGAAAACAACTGAGGAGTCGATAACACTTTTAACACCGGAAATCGCGAACGATATTTCTTCGTTGAGGGAACGATGGAGAAACTTCAAGGCGAAGGTTGAAGAAACGAAAAGACGAATGAATTTAAGTGTCGAGTATTTCATACTTTTGGAGGAAGCTAAGGAATGGAATAGAAATGGTAGCAAACTGTTAATGGTGATCGCGAGAAAAGCGACCACGGTGAAAACGCCGGACGACGCGATGGAGCTTCTTCGAGAAATGGAAAATTACCTGAAACCGGGCGAGGAGATACAGGAACAAAGAATTGAGAAACTGAAAGAGCTGTCGACTATTGTTTTCGGTAGATAAATAACAATAGCTATTTAAAAACTTCATAATTAAAAGAAATTTATTTACTTTCTATATATACTCTTTAATTACATTATTATCTGTATCAAAAAGTCATTTGATACATTTTAATTTAATTTTAATCACTTACTGAAAAATGCTTATTCATTTTGTCCTTTCGATAAAAATTGCCTAATCTTCATTTACTTGTTTGAAATTAACTTTTTCCGTTGACATTATTAAACTCTGATTTTCATGTAAATATTTTTCCTAAAAAGATCAATTTGCTTTACATTTCTATAATTGTTGGTTATATACTTACTATGGTAACGAAGCTAATACGACTATAATAATACTGTAACAATACTATAACAATACTACAACTATACTATAATAATAAAACTAAGAAAATGAAAAAAATATTAACAACACTATAATTACTGCTTTGAATTAGGAACGGAAAGGCTGCCTCAGTTCAACGAGGTGATACTCGAGAATCGCCAAATGCTCGACTCGTTTTCAGTCGTCTCCTCCGAGCTGCGAACGCTGATGGAAAATTTGAAAAACGCCGAGGATATTCGAGAGAAGCTACGGATCGAGAAAAAGGAAACGGATGAGAAGTTGCTGGCAGCTAAACTCGAAATGGCCGCAGCAGAAGCAGCCAGACAGGAAGCTGAGAACGCAAGGAAAATCGCGGAAAAGCTTGCAGCTGAAACATTGGAGAAAGCAACGACAGAAGCGAAGAAATTGAAAGAAGAAAGAGAAGCTCAAACGATTCCAAGTGCGCCGTTGTGCTCAGTATCTGCTCAAACAGAGAAACTGGAAACTACCGACGAAAGTTTCGTAAAGGAAACGGTCACTTCCGCCATTACCACTAAAGAAATACATATTTTGCAGAAGGTAATATTTTACTAAATCGTTTGAATCATTTACAAAGACATAATTGTAAATGTATTAACACTTTGCGGTCGAATATCGTCGTAATGGCGACTTCGAGCTTCGATATCTAAACTCGAAAATTGCGAAGGAATAATTTAATTATTCAACTAACGAGAGACTGATATGTGGTTTTTATTTCTTTTAGTATTTAAAACTTCGTTGCATAATTTCAGTTTTTTTATGAAAGGAAATGTTAGAAGTTCAACACAGTCTTGTCCGCAAAGAGTTAATAGAAAGTTATCAACGGTTATGGGTTAATATTAATGATTAGATTGAGAACCTTTACACAAAATCAAAATTCCTGAAGCATTTCAAAGAAACAGGAGTTAAATTAAGCATAAAAATGTAATAAATAGTAAAACTAAAGATTGAACCAAGAAACTACTGACGCATTCATTTCTTGCTTTAAGGAAAAAGTTGGAAGTAAAATTTAAAAAATAAAACTTAAAGTTTAAAAAGCTAAAAGTAAAAGAAGTATATTTAGTAGACTTTAAACAATCTTCTTGTTGCAATTATAACAAGAAAATCTATAATGTAGGAAATATATTTTTAATCTACCCCAGTTGTCGTCAAATATTATTTCACAAAAATTATTTGGATAAAATAACAAATAATAATGATTTTAGACGGAAATCGAAGAAACGGTCCCCGCATTCGAACGCGAAGCTAGTCCATCAAAGAAAATCGTGCCAGAAGAGTCTCACGAGAATATCTACGAAAAAGTGCAAATTGAGCATACGCCACTGTTGGCTCCAGAGTTTACTATTCCTCTGAACGACGCGACAGTTCAAGAGGGTGAGAAGTTCACGTTCCAATGCACTCTCGTGGGCCACCCCTTGCCAGAAGTGGTTTGGTACAAGGATGGGATTTCAATTTTAAATAACCCTGACTACTTGACGACTTACCTTCACGGCCTTTGCACGTTGACAATAGAGGAAACTTTCGCCGAAGACTCTGCCAAGTACACTTGCAGGGCGTTTAATATAGCTGGTTCGACCGAGACTTCTGCCACGTTGACTGTCAAAGGTTAGTTCGTTGCTTTCAGTGCCATTACGAGGTGACATTTACCACGAAATTGCATATAAATATTTAACCACTGGAATGTAATTTATTTATATGGAATAATTAATATATTTTGTAAAAATATATATTATAATTCCTACTGTATAATTTTATCATATTTTACATTGATATTTCTGTAAATTCACTTTTCCGAAACAGTCGTTAAGCAATGAAATGAAAATTTTGTTAAGATTTTTAGAAAAGATTATTTTATTTTATTATACATATTATAAATGTTTAATAGTATGATAATATAATAGTAGAATATTGTACATTTGAATTAAAAAAGATAACAGTATTATTAGTAAACTAATAATATTGTAAATTAGAAAAGGAATAAATAGAAAATTGAAATAAATAGGTAATACTTATTTACATTGTTTTTATAATTTTTAGAAACTGCACCGGAAGAGCAACCGAGCCCCCCCGTTTTCGTAAAGGAATTGTTGGCATCAGTGGTAACGGAAGGCTCCTCTCATAAAATGGATTGCGTCGTTGAAGGCAATCCTCTGCCAACGGTACAGTGGTACAAGAACGAAACGAACATCGATAATTCTCCAGATTACGTTATCACTTACAACAACGGTGAAGCTGTATTGAAATTTGATGAAGTGTTCCTCGAGGACAAGGCTACTTACACTTGTAAAGCATCGAATCGACTGGGCCACGCTTCTACATCAGCCTCTCTCGATGTACAAAGTGAGAATCTTATTTATATATACTTTGTAATCATATATTCCTTTCGATTAACCTTTTGCGGACAAAGATTTTTTGAAACAGACAAAACTTTCAACAGATGAAGCTAAATTATATATTGATTGCTTAAACGATAGAAGTGGAAACTACATACTGATCTCTTGTCGCTTGAGTAATTAAATCATTTATTCGCGACTTAATGTTTCAAATATGAAAATTTCGCAAAGGATTAATACGTTTGATTTAAATATGACACTTCAATTGTGAATTACTTGAATATTGTGTGACTGCTTTCTTTCTGTATGAATCTTTACTAACTTATTTATTTTTTATCTTTAATTTTTAATGATTTTTGTTTTTCATGTAAATAGTTTTGATTTTTAATGTTTAACATTTTTTGACATTTTTAAAGTAACGAAATATTATATTTGTTTTAACAATGTTTCATTTTGACAATTCTAGGTCCAGTAAGTAACACAGAGAAACCACGTTTCGTGACGCCTTTATCAAATGCGATGGGCAGAGCAGGTCAGAGGGTGAAGCTCGAATGTCAAGCGACCGGAAACCCGTTGCCGACGATGACTTGGTACCATGATGGAAAACCGATCGAAGAAACTATGAATATAAAGGTAACATTTATCATATCACGTAAAACAAATATTATTTTCAATACGATTAACAATAGAAACGAAAAAATTAATTTTCCAAAATTCCAATTTACGTCTATTAATTATATAGACATGACAATTTGAGTCCACAACTTCCATTTACTATCTTTGAAAATATTTACACAAAGTTACAGTCACCTGAAAATTCTTCATATGTAAATAAAAAAAAACACAAGTATTATCAGACTTGATCTAATGAAATCGAAAAGTCTTCCATCAAAAATATTTTTCTACACATGATCTAACAGAAACAGTACTTACATATACGGACAATCTTTATTTCCCAATTGAAGGTCACGCTGGTCAGTCATTTGGGTTCGGTCTTAATTAGTATTCATTTAAGATTACAAATCGTTATTAATATTCCATTATTATTATCATTATCACTACTACTATTATTAATATTTTATTACTATTACCATTAGTATCACTACTATCATTAATATTTTATTATTATTATCACTATTACTACCATTATTATTAATATTTCATTATTCTTATTATTACTACTACCATTATCATTAATATTCTATTATTACCATCATTATTATCTTTATCATCACTATTACCATTAACATTCAATTTCTTAAAACCAGAGGCAACCCGTGCAACACATAAGTACGAAAACAACCAAAACACAGATACATCCAGTGTCATCGATCCTGGTGTAACGAAATCGGCGAGAAGTCTTTCATAAGTGCGCAACGTGTCCTCGTGTCCCCACTGGCTCTAACGATTCCTTCCTTGAGCCTTTCCCGGGCATCCCCGGTATTTTTAGCGACTTGCACGCGTCGAATTCAAAATAGAGCAAACCGCTCGTCAAGGGAAAAGGAAGTACTGAACGCGAAAGCTCAGGGTGTCGCGGGTCCGTTGTTTCAGATACAAACGGACGCTGGCCAGGCCAGCTTGATCATCGCGGAGGCGTTCGCGAAGGATGCCGGATGTTACGTGGTCACCGCTAGAAACGAGGCGGGGGAAGCGAGCGTGTCCTGCAACGTATCGGTGAAGGGACGCCTTCCTCACGAGACCAGCGACTCGGAGCTCGCTTGCAGCGACATGGAGCCCGTCGTGCCCAAGATACAAATGCCCCTGAAAGACCTCAAGGCCCAGGAAGGCAGATCGGTTCGTTTGGACTGCGTGATTGTTGGCCAACCTGAGCCGGAAGTAAGTATTCTTATTGTTTAGATCGGAGAGGAAGTGACTTTAAGTAGGAAAATTCTTAGAGGATTGTACATGAAAATTTAAAAAATTTTGTTTCTACGGTTATTTTTCTAGATTATGAATTTTAAATTTTACATTATGGATTTTAGATTTTGTAGTTTATGTTGTACACGAATTTTGTAATATTAGGAAATTAAAGTAAATAATTAAAATGTTATGTTATGTTATGGGATTTTAGAATGTTTACTTAGTAAATAAATATCGGTTTAAGATTGATTTTAACTGAGAAGGTAAACGTTTGTTTTTGATGAACATTTTTGTTGCAAATTTCGTTTTCTTTATACAATAATTTGTTTTGTATATAATTATTTCGTTGTATGTTTGTGTAACGAAGTAGTTGATTGTAATGTAGCATTTGAACTTAAGAGTTGGCATACGGTCTGGATTGGTTTCAACAGAAATGATTACCTAAGAATTTGGTAAATCTGTTGTCGCAGGTGATCTGGTACCACGACGATCAACCGGTGAAGGAGTCCGCCGATTTCCAGCTGTTGTTCCAAGGCGACAAGTGTTCCTTAGTGATTCACGAGGCTTTCCTGGACGACGCCGGCGTGTACAAAGTAGTCGCCATTAATTCCGGCGGTGAAGCATCTAGTCAGTGCAAATTAACAGTGACGCGTAAGTAGCGGAAATTAATTAATACAAACATTAGATCATTCCATAAGAAATTTCTTGTCTCCTGTTATCTTAATTTACAAGTAAATCATCGGTCAATGTTTTGAAATTATCATTAGGATAATGCCATATATGTCTGTGCTGTCAGAATAAGTTATTTTAATTTTTTAATTTGCAATTATATAAATTCACTTGTTAGTACGTTCATTGAGATCTCAACAAATATACTTTTAATAAAAGTAAACGACTTTTAATATTCTAGAATTTGAAATTTTGTAAAAATAATAATGTTTGTGGAATGATATAACTGTTAAATTGTAACGAATATTGTTAATAAAAAGATGTTTTTGTTTCAGCGGTTGGTATTCCACACGAGTTGGATGGTACGCGACCGGAGGTCGAAGATACATTGATTTCCGGTTCTCCACCGAAGTTCGTAAAACTTCCGACGGACTCGTTGGTGGCCGAGGGCGAGAACGCCATATTTGACTGCGCGGTGGTTGGAGAACCGAAACCGGAACTCAGGTGGTTCTCCGACAGCGGCGAGATCACCGGAAACGAAAGAATCTTGGTAATTATTTACGAATATTCATTACACTCACAGTCAATAATTTTTTTAAATAATGCGTAGTTGAAAAAGTAATTGCATTTTATTAGAAATTTATAATTTAAATCAGTACATTTTTAATATATTAGTAATTGAAAAAAAACACGTTTTATCACAAAATAAGAATTTAAAATCAGTCAAATTTTAACATATTATATTATATTATATTATATAGTTAATGATTTTTGTATTTAATTCGTAATTTGAAAAGGAATCAATAATTTGGAATTATTAAATTTGAACGTAACAAACTAAGGAAATCAAGATTTGAATTTGACAATTTCCACTTGAATCTTCAATGAAATTATGGTGTGCATTAAGATTGTTGTATTATTCAGATCCAGCAAAAAGAAGATGGAACAGGGATGCTTCGATTCTTGTCCGTGATTCCCGAAGATCGAGGAAATTACATCGTGAAGGCTACAAACGTTCATGGCAAAGCGAAAGCATTCGCCAGGTTGGTCGTGAGATCTTTGGGCGATTTTCGAAGGAAAGAAGAGTTCGTGCAAATGGAGGAGAAGCTCATCGCGCCAACGTTCAAGGAAAAATTCGAGGACAGAAGCGTACCAGAAGGGGTCTCTACAAAATTCGAGTGCATCGTTGTTGGGAAGCCATCGCCGAAGGTAAGTAATGAAAGCATAGTCAATCAACTTGTAAAATTGGTATAAAATACAAACAATCTTTTGAAGAATACTTAATTAATTGCTATTTATTAATCAATAACAATCGTTACGATTAACAGCTTAAAGATTGCTAACTATAAAGTGGTTTACGAAAGCTTACCTAACCAATAGTATGCTATAAAATATTGTTCAATTAATATCATTATCAAATATTAACACAATTTTGTATTTTCATTATATAACAAATAAGCAAAGTAAGAAGTAACACTAATAGACTCCAAATTAATTAACGAAACTAATAACAACATCAATATTAACTATTTTTGTTCAATACCTCAGAAACATCAATAAGGTAAACTATTTCAATATTTATTTACAAATGAGATATCCACAACATTTGTTTATAAAGTTGCCCAGAAGCCAATGTAGTTAAATCCATTTTTTGATATTTCCTGGTTTTGTAATTTTTAATGAAATAAATAATATTCTATTGTTGCAGAGTCTACCCTTTGAAAAAAGAGTGTATATACTTTTATGATCAAATTAATAAGGAACAAATTTTTAAAATCAATGTATGAAAAAACATGAATTTTCTCAATTTTTGTTTTCTGGACTTAACCACGTTAGTTTCTGGGCGACTCGTATAATTATTACGAGAAGAGTTTATTGAAAAGAGGAAAGTATTTGTCTCGATCTCTATCGTTAGTTGCGTTTTGATTGGCATTCGCGTCTCGTTCCTCGCATCTGCGCTTCACAAATCTTCGATCCCATTCGCGGATAAAAGCGTAATTACCGAAAGACCCGGTACCTCGAATCGTGGCGCCAGATCAAGAACCATTTTCCGAAGGTGTCGTGAAAGATAGGGCGCACGCGAAGTTGGCCAGCCTGTCAGGAGGTGGCCGACTAAGAGTAATTTTGTGGCTCCGGGTTATATTTAAACAGGAACAATGTACCTGAAGTGGAAATTCGCGGTTGCAGCCGCACCACGAGGAACTCCGCGGAATTCTCTGTGACACTCGCGCCGATCAGGTACTTGTATCGTTTCATGTGCGCGTTTCTTGTCGGATAGTTTCGAGAACTGAGTGATGCGACTGGATTTAATCACGGAATTAATAATATTTTTGTGTGATCGTTGTGGATTAGGTATCGACCGATATCGGCAATTATAATTCTGATTGATAATCGAAATATTGTGAGATATATTGTATACAGTTGACGAAAATTTAGAGATTATGGGAAATAACTTTGTCGGCAGAGGAAATTTGTAAAATTTGTGAAATTTCTAAAGTTTTTAGCATTTCTATGGTCGTTTTGAATCGAATTTTTAAAAGTTTTTAACGTGTATAGTCGTTTTTACGTGTGCTACGTTTTTGACGTAACTCAACGAAATTTTTTAATTTTTCGTATGTCAAATTTTACTTAAGCATTTTTGTTAATCTTAAAATGAAGCATAGAATTTTATACTATAGGACTTAATAGATAATATTAGATATTATTAAAAACTTTTATGTAATTGATAAAAACCTATGAATAATTTTTAACATTGAAAATTTAATTTTCTTCCAAAATTAGATTTGTTAATAATTGAGAATGTTAGAGAAAAATGATTTCTAAGGAATTATGAATCGAATCTTCATTACGTGGATACAAAATATATGTTAGGTAGTGTTATTGAATGTGTTGAAATATGAAAAACTAAGTTCTAAGATAAAATTCAAATGAAATTGGAAAGTTGATATGAAAAATTTCAAATCGATTGTCTGATTTTCAGATTCAATGGCTCTTTAACGAACGACCTGTCCATGGCAAAGATTTTTTGGTGTCGGTCAGCGGGGATCGACAGGTGCTGACGATTCCGGAGACAGGAAGCACGCATGTCGGTACTATTTCCTGTGTGGCGGAGAACGCTGCTGGTAAAGCGGTCTGCAGTGCACGTTTAGATATTGGTAAGTTTCAAATTAAAGCACATTTTACGAAAAAATCTCAGTGGTTTAACAAAATTCTACTAACATTTAGTAATGTGTTTATTATTTATTAACGCGTTAGGTATGGAATTTAGTTTGAAAAATATCTTATTATGCGGGCAGTAAAATCAAATAATGAAGTGTATACTCGTCAAATGCAGGCCAAATGCACAGAAGAATTACATGTTTATCTGAAAAAATAAATAGTCTATCGTTGAAAGTTTTTAAAACTTTTGAAATTGAAAACCGCTTAGAATTTTAAGATGACGTGTATACCCGTCAAACGCAGTTAACTAGTTAGCCATTAATTAATTTATGGAAGGAACTTGTTTTCACCATTATAATAATTTATATAAAAGTATTTAAGCTCATAGTTAATTGTTTTTAAAATCATCGATGGTCTCTTAAGAATCTTTAATATGTAAATTGAAATTTAATCATTGTCATTCGATACTGAAATTATAACTTAGATTTTCAATCTAAAATTAATTATTTCCTTTCGAATTTAATCAGGATAAATTTAATTTGAAACTAACTATAAAAATATACGCAGCTTTGAATCTGAATTCAATCATTATAATTTAGTTCCCATCATTGAAGTTTAAACTCGAATTTTATCGTCGTAAACTGAACGCCCACACGAGAAATTCCACATTAATATCATCCAAGATTTATTTTTCTTAACATTCAATTCAATTTCGAAAGTTCCTATTTAAATTTCCACTATTCACAGCTGATTACAAAGTTTCCATTCAAAATTGAAATTTAACTTCCATTATCGACATTTGATCACAAAGTTCTCCATTAAAATTCAACCATTACTTTCTAATCTACAAAATTTACACTTCTATTATTCCCAACTCAATACAAAATTTAGCTTCAACATTTAATTACCATTTCCAATTTAATCTTCAAAATTTTCAATTCAAATTTCACTATTTTCAACCAAACACCACATTTTATTAAAGCTTACCTATTATATTCATTTAACGTACAAGACGTACACTTAACTCTTTGCACTGCAGAGGCGCCTCTCAGTCGCAAATTGATTTGACACAGCAAAATTATAAAGTCTAATATTTAATATTAAACTTTGTATAATGCATCGATGTGTAAAATATTGGAAGAGAATAGTCTTCTTTCACAATGTATTTGAGATTTCTTGTCAAGTCAATTTCAGAAAATGTTATCTGCATCTCATTAGAAAGCATTCAGTATTTTCAGTGAGAAACTTCTGGGGTGCGAAGGGTTAATTATCATTATTCATAAAGGGCGCAAATTTTCACTTGAAATATCAAGTTCGCCGTTTTCAATGTAACCTCGAAGGAATGTTCGAGCGTCTAACAAGGTTGTAGACGGAGCAGTCGTGAAAATTCCGATCGCAAGAATCGGATTTCGAGGCTGCGCGTATCGCCCTGTCGATCTTCGGATTTGGAAACGGGGTGATTTTTATTGCCCCAGTGTGTGTTGCGTTGAAATTCGTTTACACGTTGCCAGAATATCGTCGTATCGCTCGCAACGGTGCCACGGGTTATTAATAAACGTATACCGAAAGCCGCATGGCGACTTCATTCACGACGCGGCCGATGCGATGCATGGCCGCCGGAGACCACTGTCATTTCGGTGAACGCAGAGGAAGACGAGACACGATATTTCGATATGCATACGTATGTACTGATGTATATACGCGCGAGGGGGACGTCATTGCGACACATTAAGCGCTGAAATTCGACACCAGCCACCGCGCAAGAACGATCGAGAGAAAAATCGCGGTGTTTCGCGACCGTCCGCCGTCGATATTTACTTATTCATAATTTCGTGGATTATCTTGGCAACGCGATGAACTTTAAAATAGACCTTCCGATTGTTTGGTAAATGAAATTTCAATCTGTATGTGACATTGAGATAATGAGTTGATAAGGTTTAATTATTTGAAGAGTTATAAATTAAGAGGGAAAAGGGAATCGATTTTTCTTTGTGATTCATGTTTTGTTATTATTATAATTTTTTTTTAATTATTATTTAAGGAAAATTTGATAAAGGTGCAAAAATTTCAAAGAATGCAGATAATACAAAGAAATATGTAAAATATTCAAGTTGTAGTGATTTTTTCGATATTTAGGAAAATAGTTTACTACCTTCAAGTTGTTTTTTTAATTATTCTCTCATTTTTCTGTTTTATTATATCACAGTTTCATTTCTAGTTACATATTTTTGCTTTAAGTTTAATTGTGTACAAAATCAAGTTATTGTTTTCATATTTGTTATTTAAAAAGTTAAGTTTCCCGTTTGTTGAATAAGTGATTGAATATTTTTGGATTGTGGTTGGATTTTGGTTAATAAATATCGTCTTATCCGATAAATAACGCGACGTTTTGTATTTCTTTTATTTTTAAAAGTAAAGATATGCACAAAACACTTTTGAATCTGGAACATCTTCATTATGTATAAATTGCCCGTCTGTACATTGTAACTATGTTGAAAAAACTTCTGTTTATCTTTCTTTTCAGAAATAAAAGAAACATAAAAAAATCGCATGATTTATAGGGATGACCCAATATGATTTTTTTTTGTTCCTTTTTTCGGAGGAGGATTAAGCGCCCTGGTTAAATGATATTCCGTGATCCATTAGCGCGAAACCCGGTGTTATATGGGCGGCAGGGTGTCTTATTTTTAACCAGGGCGACTAAACAAACTCTTTTCTCTTCTTTCACCGACAAAAAGTCACTTTGAGTCACGACTAATATTAGATCAGTGCACATGCCGCGGCAATTAAATCTGACGTTTCTAACGCCCACCTGTACGTGTCACTATACGGTTGTAGGTACGTGCCGTGCAAAAACATTCTATCCGGCTCTTCTTGCGGTTTACATTAGCGGGAAGTGGATTCAAGAGGTTCGCTCGGTGAACGTTGGGACCATTCGGACTCGTAACATTAGAATCGATAATATCGTTAGTGTGAATTTCTGTTTTATTTACAATTTTAGGAAAGGATATTTAACTAATATATTTATCGTAAATGTTTTATCTTAAATAATTACTTATTGAATATCAAAATTCTCAAATTTTATCATTCGATAACGAACTCATTCGTTATTCAATTCTTATATCTTTCATTCATAATATAGTTATGTTTGATCAATCTCTCCTTTACATTTGTTAAACAGCTTCAATCACCAATTCGAATACTAATATCAAAAGAATTAGATTTATTCGTTGATATGAAGTGAACTAAATTTATAAACAATTCGAATTTATTCGTTTTCTAATTTATTCTTAAGAAACACTTCCAATTTAACCATAAACACGAAACAACTCCAATACATTCATTATTTACGAGCACTGAGCGAATCAGATGTATTCGTTAAGATAAAGTGAATTAAATTTGTAAACCATACTTATTTATTCGTTTTCTGATTCATCTATAAGAAACGATTCGAAATTATCCATAAACATGAAACAATTCGAATATACTCATTATTCACGAATATCGAATGAATCCAATTCATATGTTAATAAAAAATGAATCAGTCATCATTCATCGATAATTATCTCGTTTCCTAATTTATTCTTAAAAAAACGCTCCCAATTTAACCATAGAAGCAAATACAATATATCCATTATCCACACTCCTCAGTTGAATCAAACTCATTTCTGCCCTTCTGCGACCTAACCCAGACTGCAGGTCAGACGGTCACCGATCACAGTGCACGTTTCGTCGTGTGGGACCTGCCAATCCTGCCGGTGCCATCCTTCACCGATAGGTCAGTTCCGCGTTTCCCGTGTTTCACGCAAGCTTGACCGACTGTTCCGTGTATCGGGTTTGTCGAAGAGAAGCTCCGGCCCGCGTTACTCTTTCTCTCTTTCGGCCGGTGCACACACTCAGAAACCACGTTATTTTTGTCGGCACGAATACCCGGCACGTAGCCTAGTCCAGAGTCGCTAACCCAGGGAATTTAAGTGCGTCTTCTTCGGGGAGCCTCGCTCCTACCGAGTCGTGTCTCGTCGAGCCGGACACCGAACCCATCGTCGACACCCTAAATCGCCCTAGCGTCCTGTCAGCGTACGGACCACCGTCGATCCTCCCCGCCGAGGTAACGAGATCGGCACGAGAGTTGGGTAATTATTTGACCCCCTCATTGACCCTCTCAACTCCATTTTTTGAAACATTTTGTCGTTGACGAGCTCAATTGATTTTGGTAATTACGTATTGTACATGCTATCTTTGTTTTTTAGAAATAAAATGTTAATAATAATGGTAACCAACCAAACCTGTCAATTCCATTTTTTGAAACACGTTGTCGTTAACGAGCTCGATTGATTTTGGTACTTATGTATTGTATGCATTACCTTTGTTTCTAAGAAATAAAATATTAATAATAATGGTAATGATAGTGATAATAATAATAGAGTATTCATAGTGTGGTATAATATTAATCCTGTGAGTGGCAAGGAGCAATATATCGCTCCTTCATGCACTTGCGAAAAGGTTTTTTTTGATTTTATTGGTAATGAAGCTAGTCTAACATGTTTTTAGTGTTATGTAAACATTTTATAAAGTTTAAATCAAAATTGTCCGAAATACAAATTTTTGTTTATAATTGTGCATATTTATTTAAAATTGTCTGGCATTTCTGGAATATTTGTGAAAATTTCCATTGGCATTCAAAGGGTTAAATACATATTAATTCAGACTTAACACAAATAACTAACCAGTGCGACCTTCAGTTCGGAAATAAAGATAATCTGTATAGTAAGTACCCCAACATTTTATGTTTAAAAATTTTGTATTTGACATTTTGTATTAATGGGTGAACGGCGTTTGAGTGTATACTTCGTTGTTTGATGTACACTTCACTTTCATTCTTTTATTTGCTCGAATAATGAGAGATCTTTGAAACTGGATTACACAGTTAACGGGTTTAAAGAAATTTTTTTTATTGTTTAATTTCGTTAATACGGATAAAGGTTACTTTCAAGGTGTATCGTTTTGTGGATCTTATATGTTCTATGGATTAAACTGCACCTGTAATAATAAAGTAAAGTACAGTGCATAATCTATAGTTTGTTTTCCATTTGAACAGGAATTTTCGAAATCGATGTGTACTCCTGTGTTACTTAGAAAAAAGAATCCTCCCCTGATTTCGATGATCTTTTAATCACTTGTCGTACGAATTAATTTCTAAACTTAAACCAGGAGTATGAGCATTTTCTAGTCGTGTCTTTTATTATTTAAATGTATTATGAAACATATGTTCACAAAACAGGTAAAATAATAATACAGAAAAAATAAAATCATCAAAAATATTCGAATTATCTTGAGATAATTTGGGTTAATTTTTAATTTAAAAAATCTGTATATATTCAACCATATCTGATCAATTTGGTGAAAGTTTAGTTAAGAAATATTGTTTATTAGTTGAGGTATTGTGCCATTATTGTTAAAAGGAGCTGTTTCACTGGAAACATAACGGACTTAATTTCACTTTCATGACTTTCAATTTAAATTCTTCTCATCATTAATTTTGATATTTGCAAAAATTAATGTATTCAGGGTTGTGATTGGCATAGGTGGATGAAGAGGGTTTGGAAATTGAGATTTTTTAATGGAGCATGTCATAGCTGCACGAGCAAAATGCATAGTAGTTTACCGAGAGTATTAGCTGTTCGCTCGAATTTGAAATGTTAATATTCGGCGATGTAGCAATTTGTAGTTGGTGAACGAATGAGGTGTCAGATGTGAAAATAGAACGTGGGATCGGTAACTGGTTATATGGGTGTATGATGCAGGTGGTTCAGTGGAACTATCCTTCTTCATGTTGGCTTTCTGATGTGTTATTCGAATCAAATTTTTCAACATTTTTCTGTTATTCATAACGAATTGAAACGATTGATGCAAGCAGTTCGTTAATGCTCAAGTCTTGCCATACTTGTAATTCTTTCCATCAAAAATGTAATTTCATTATAAGCTACTCAATCAAAATGAAAATAACACGAAAAATAATTAATTACATCTTAGTCGTTAAATTTTCACAAATAAAATCACAAAAATTATTTGAAACGAACAGAAATCTACGAATCAATCACAGAATTGTATAAAAACCTTTCCAGATTCTAAATGCTTTAACACTAAAAGTCCCGAGCAGTTAAATTGACTTTTTGAAATGTTGCTATAGAAGCTTCAAAAGTGCATCCATTCAGACTTTAATTGATTTATAACCCACGTTGCATATTACTAAACCAATTTTCTCAATAATTTCTTAGAGAAACATCTGTTATATTTTTAATAATTGTAAAATGAAGGAATTAGAAATAGGTCATTTTGAGTGTTAAAATAGTAATTTTTGTGTTAATAAGAAAAAGAGAACAGACTTTTTGAAACAACTCGTTTTTCAGAAAGTCTGAAAAACAGGTTACAAAAGTGCAGTGCAATTTTAAGTGTCATTAGAAGCGAAACACTATTTACGTTACAAACTAAATGGATGTTTGTTTTCGATCGAGCAGAGTGCGTCAACTGGTTGCAGTAGTAAATATCGCGCTAGACGACCGCAATTTCGAGGACTCGTTTAGATCGCGTTCGACTTATAAATTGCCCCCGAGTGCCACGATTTCCGTTGAGGTAAGGTAAACGTGTACTATTTTTGTCTTCGATTATAGTCGAACTATCCCGAAGGGCCCGCGCGGCCCGTTTCATCGACACCTCGACTCCAACCTCCAAACTTAACTTTTACGATCCGTCCCATAAAGTTCAGGGACCCCATAACAAGTTTCGTGGAAGAAGCTTCTCGCTCGATTGTGAAGGAATTTTAATAATAATTTTATTTATATATAATTCATAGTTGTAATATAAGTTTATTATGTAAAATAAATGCAACAATTCTTTATAGGGTGTATAATTAAAATTAATTAATGACACGACGCACGTAGGGCGTTCATCAGAAAGTAAAGCGTAGTGAAGAAGGTTACCTGTTCATTCGAAAAATTATTCTTGAAATAAATAGTATTATTTTAGGTTTTAAAATGTGTGTACTGGAAAAAATTCTGAAATTTTGCAGTTCCTTCCTCAATGGATAAAAATTAACAAATTTAAATTCAAATTCAGATTAAAAAATTTAACTTCAAACTCAAACTCAAACTGAAACTCAAACTCTAATGCAAATTGATATTCAAATCCACATTCAATCTCAAATTCAAATTCTAATTTAAATTTAAATTCAAGTTTATATTTAAATTCAAACTGAAATACAAATTTATATTCAAATTCATATTTAAATTCGAACTGAAATACAAATTTTAATTCACACAACAACCCCACATATGCCATTCCGGTGCACAACCATCCGGTCTGGTTGTGTCCGCGAATTCGGGGCAGGTCGCGAGCGAGTTTTCGCGGTCCAGATACACCGGGATGAGTTCCCACTCGAGAACCCCGAAGACTTTGGTTCCCAGCCAAAGAATGTGTCTTCTTTCGATAATCGTACAGCGTGGAATTCATACTCACAGCGCCGTAATGATGAATTACCGGATATTTTTAGGGAAATATGTAATGGTTTTTCGTTCTCGTCGGTTGCGAAATTCGCAAAAGCTGTTGAAAATTCGACGAATGTTGCTGTTTCATTGAGGAGTTGTGTTCTTTGAATGAATTCATTGAAAATATCATTCTGTTATATTGACAAGAAAAATATGAATAAAAATTTAATTGAAATTAAAAGTAATTGCTACGATTCCGATGATATGATTTTTCAAAAGCATATTAAGATATGATGGTAAAGGTTAGCATTTTTAATGAAAAATAATTATTATTAAAAATTAAAAATGAACTTTTATTATTCTGTTATTCTTAGAAAAAACCGTTGCTGCTTTTCCAATAGTAATTTAAAGTCGAATAGGTGTGAAATTTCTATGACGATTACACCATCCGTGCAGATTCTAATTCCGGATTCACCGATGTTATTCTAGAGTTGCTAGATCGATTAAACGGGCCATCTATTAATTAGTCCCGGTTTCAACAGAATAAATCGACTCGAAACTCGCGTTGAACTTCCTCGATTCGGGATTTAACTGCCACTCTACAAGCGTTGATCTTTAGAATATTCTTAGTTAATGAACATTAATTTCATAGATTGTTGCTAAATATTTAAATAAATTAGAAAGTAAATACTAAGCCTATTTTTTAAGAAAATTACTCGTGATATTTACTGATGGATTTATTAAAGTTTTGTATGCTTTTTTTCATTTTAAATCACTTAAAATGAGAAGAATTTTTAATTTTTTATAATTAAGGTTTTCGAGTAAAAAGTAAAAGTTAATTCTATTGTATTTTTTCATATAGGTACAATGTGTTAGCTTTTTTTAACGATTAAATTGGAAAATACTACTACTACTATTACTACTACTTTCTTTTTTAACCAAAGTAATGTTTGAAATTTGGAACAATTAGTTTGTTTTAAGGGTACAGGACATTAATAAATTATTAAAAGTTTGGGACAGTTATATGGAAATTGACACGTGATTTGTATAGTTTGTATAGAATTCCTATAATATCCGAGTTACAGTGATTGAATCCACTTCTTTTTCCAACTGCAGAAATTTTGCTCGCGAAAAATATATTTGGCTTCCAAGGTTGTTTTACTATTACCTTTCACTGTCGCTTTATTCTAAGTTCGGACTAATAAACCAGAAACGGATGGAATGCGAATTCAAACACGCCGCCCACATCATCGAATGAAAACAAATATGGCCAAGTAATGCATTTCACATTTCCTTCTACTCCGTTGAATGTTAAATAATTTGTAAACTTCTAAAATGATTGTTGACAGATGTTATTTCTACTATTAAAAACAAAGTGAATACTTTATTTACCAAAATTTTGTATATTATTTAAAATTTCACTATTAAAGCTGCCATTTCTATTAATTCATTTTTAACATCTTTACCTTGCAATTACAAAAATCATAATTAGAATCTTATCAGAATCTAGATAATCTAGATCTATACTAGAATATAGATCTGTACTAAATTATATATACTAGAATATGGATCTATACTAAATTATCTATAGTAGAATATAAATCGATACTACGATCTATATTAGGATTTACATTAGATTATTTATATTAGAATCTAGATTTATACCAGGATCTATGCTAGAGTTTACACAAGAATCACCGTAAATACTGCAGAGTTCTATTGCTAAACATACAGCACTCGAAATATTTTTTCTCTGAACACGACTTGGCCTATTACTAGCCGGCAAACATCAGTCATCGATCTATTGATAACTCGATTAATCATCGTTATTAGGTGGCTGGTTGAGAGAAGAGGTACATAAGGGAACAGAGGGGGCGGAAGAAGGCGAGAGGGTACTTGAACTAGTCGAAACTCTGCCCAGCGACGAAATGCATGCGTCAAGCAGCAGTGACAAACACTTCTTCTCGGAGAAGATGGCCGAGCCTGGGGGTGATAACCAGGTGCTGACCAAAATGTCGCAGATGATCACGGAGTCCTCCACCACTCACACGACCACCAAAAAGGAGTACATCTCGTCTATGATGTCCTCCACCCAGTCGAAGTCAGGACAGGAACCGACCAGTGTCTGTGTAAAAACTACGATCCACAGCACCGAGCAGTCATCGTCTGACAATGGAGCACCCCCTGTTGTCCAGGTACAATAATTTGAGAATTGGATAATTTGAAAATTTAGAAATTCGAAAGTTGAAGCTTTGAAATTTGAACTACAGACTTTTTTGAAGGTCCCGCTTTTAAGGGTTACTAAACACTAATTGTTAATCAAGTACTATTACTAGTTACCGTTTACCAATTTTGCAAAATGCATGCATATTTAGTACATGTTCCAGGTTTTTAAAAGAGCAATAATATTTTATTTTATATTATCTAAGTTTTAAACATTTCTATGTCAAGGTACCTTTTTTTTTAAATGAGCTTCACACAACTTTTCTTCGGTTTTGATTGTGCAGTCGTACAAAGTCGAGGAACACGAGAAGATTATACAGGACCAGCCAGGTGAGATTCGACAGGAGAAGACGGTCGTTGTGTCGCAGGACGAGGAGGGCATTAAACGTGACATGAAAGCGGCGCAAGCACTGAAACCGACTAGAAAATCGACCGCGCCGAGGTTCGTCTCACCGATCACAGGAATGATCGTTGATCAAGGGACAGACATTGTTCTCGAAGGAATTATTGATGGTGAGCTCAACTAAATATTCTGAATTTTTTAGCACAATAACATTTCATTGAGCTACATACATCTCAATTAACTGTTCTTCAGATTCTAAAATTAATTCGATTTTACTAACCAAGAATGAACAAACCTTTAACTATTGAAGACCAATAAATTGTGGAACAATAAGATTATTCCTCTTAAATCTTGGAATGTTAACAAATCTTTTGGAATTTTTTCTATTGAAATTTTGGTTGGCAATTTTTTTCATTTTAAGAACATATTCCTGCAATTTTCTATACGAAGATAATAAAAAGGATTTAAACAGAAATTTCTTCTCTAACATTGGGCACACGAAGCTATTCTATTTAAGAGTTACTTGATCAATATAGTTCATCTTAATCATTGAAATTCACCTTGGAATATTGAAAATTTACGACTGAAACTGTTTTGTTAAACTAATTGGTTCGTACACCGTCACCTGCACGATTGCCAAAATTGTTACTGTGTTTGAATAAAATTATTGTAAAAAAGAAAGAACCATGTCACTGTGTAAGTTACAGTTCTAATCTTGATGGATCATTAGTGACCCATTGTTCGTATTTCGAAGGTGAACTTTTGTTAGACCTTGGATCAGATGTGTTTACGTTCCGTTTAATTTGCGATATATCTAAAAGTTCAATAAAATCTGAGAAGTACAACTTTTCTTATGGAAATGACAATGGTCAGAATCATTACCCTGACAAAAATAAATTCCTTTATTTATAAACAAAATGATTTGTTTCACTTAAAACAAAATTACTTATATAGATGTCTTATACTTTATCAAAATTCTTTACGTAAACTTACGTATCTTTCAAAACTGTACATCTATCGTTGACGTTTCTTTGCATCACATTTTCTGTCGCTGCAGATATCAACACTGACGTCAATAAAGATATTAAACTCACGTGATCCAACCTGTAGATTCAAGTACTTTATTGCTTCTAAATTATTTAAAGTGAAACACGCAAGGTGTTTGACACTTGCTTTTGGCAAACGTATTCTTTTCCTTGAATCCATTCCTATTACCGTCTATTCAATACTGACCACACTCTTGCCAGAATACTTTATCCTCAGGGTTTAATGACTTATACATTAATCTGCATTTAACGCTGCTACGTTTTTCGAGTCTCTTTTGACCCAATCACGTTTTTATTTTCTTAGCATCGTCTTGCGCCTTTAATTTTCTCCGAATTATTTAAACTTGAGATAGTATAAGAAACTTATTATTAGACTATATGCTTTTACTTCTTCAATAATATTTTGAAATTTGTCGATAGATTGAAAAGTAATGTTGCAACGTAATTTTTAAAATCCTTTTTTTTATTTTTAGGTTTCCCACAGCCTTCGATCACCTGGTCGAAGAACGGACAGGAGCTGAAAACGAAAGACGGTATGCTGATAAGTTACGCGCACAATCACGTCTGGCTGGAATTGAAGAACGTTAACGTTAAGGACGCGGGACGGTACACGTGCACCGCGACCAACGAAGTCGGAGCAGCTAGCAGCACAGCTGACCTAGTTGTCAAAAGTAAGACAAAGTTTTATTATATATTCTTTCATCTATTTTCTTAATAATTTTTTGTTGATTATACTATGTAGATGAAATAAAAATTTTTTATTCCTATATACCATTGTACATTTTTGGATAAGTTTTCAATGTAGAATTCTAATGCAGAATTTTAATGTGTTTAATATTTTATATATTTTTTCTTCGAATGTTTTAGAAACGATATTCCCACCTGTATTTGGCAGAAGGCTTCAAGCTCAAGTTGTGAAACGCGGCGATCGCGTTATAATGGAAGTAGAAATTACAGGAACTCCGGAGCCCACCGTGTCGTGGTTTAAGGATGACATACCGATCAAAGAACGCCCACCTGAGTTAAGAATTAAACAGCAAGGGAATTGTTACATGTTAATCATCGAAAAAGGTGAGCCTTCAAATTAGTTTGAAAATTGTAAAAATTATGAAATTCGTTGCACTCATTTGTATTTTTACTTAACTATTAAAGTTTAGTAGGAATTTAGAATTTTTGACTTTAAATTTAAATGAGTTATGAGCATTATTATTGAAATTTGAAATTAAATTTAATCACTGAAATTCAAATCTCACTGGGGGAATTTGAAATAAAAAATAATCTTTGAAATTTACAACGTATAACTAAAATTTGAAATCGAAATTAACGACGGAAATTTGAATTTAACTTTTATGCATTCAGCTGAGATGGAGCATAGCGGAAAATATATGGTCCGAGCAACGAACGCTGGTGGAGAAGCGCAGAGCATAGCCGACTTCGCCGTTTTCGAGCCAACACCCGATACGATGGTTGAAGTTCACAAAACTGTCATCTACGAGAACGTGCAGGATCAGAAGGTAATCACGTTTTCCTTTCATTAAATTTTCTTTAAAAGATTATAGATAATATTCACTTCATTCTTATCTTATTCTTATTAATTTTTATTAATTTTACAATTATCTTCATTTACTTCACACTTTATCGTTACTAATTTTATAAAATAATAACTTTAATTTTATGAAACACCGGTTTCGTTAAATATTTTAATTAACACAATTACTCAAATAATTTTCATTAAAAAGTTTCCTCCTCCAACATATAACAACATAAGAAAAGTATAACATTACTAATACAAAATTTTCAACAAGCATAGCTACCAAACTGATACTAATTTCGCAGAATATCATTTAGTATAAATTTCTATGTATTCGTATTCACTCAGTCCGAGGAAAAGAAGAGCGAAGGATTTTCTATGAAACCGCCGAGCGCTTATTTACCACCGGTTACAACTATCCAACCGAGTCCTTTGAAAATCCCAGCGCCGAGCGTAGTATCTTCGTCGATTTCGCAAAAGACGCACACAGTTGAAAAAATCGAGAAACCGGAAATGTCTCGTTCAGAAACGATTTCATCCACCGTGGAGTCCCATCAAACAGAAACCAAATCCGAACAGAAATACCACATGAAACTCGAGCACAAGATGCCATCGATAACTTCAGAGCCACAGAAAGGAGGAGAAACCTCGATCAAACAAGTCATTCACGAAGAAAAGAAGATCGCCGAACCAGCTGGCACAGTATTCGAAGAGAAAACCACGATCGAAAACGAGAACATCGAAACATCCACCATCGCTAAGAAAGACGCCCTAAGTTTCTTCGAATCGATGACGAAGGAAGCAGAAACAGCACCAAAAGGTCCCAAAGAAATGATCAAACTGGTAGACGACACAGATGGCCACGAAGTGAAGGTTGGCAAGCTATCGAAGAACTATGAAAAGTCCACGACCTTCCAGGAGGTGAAGAAGCCAGAACCAAAACCCCAAGAGTTCCAAACTAAGAAGAAAGCAGTGCACGAGATCTTCACTAAACTGGAGCAAGGGCCCGGTGCGTCGAGAGGTGTGGACAACAAACTATTCGATTTCCCTTACGAATCTTACAAACCAGTGGAAACGAAAAAGACAGTGCAAGAAACATACACCTCAGGATCATCGTCCTTTCAAGGCTCCTTGACGATGAAAACGGAGTCCAAATCCGAGAGCTCTGAACTGCTGATGGGCAGCTTTAATTTGCAACCAGAACCACCGCCAGAGATAGGCTACATGCCGAAGCCCGAGGAGATGCAGAAAAAGCGTCTCGACGTATCGGTGAAAGCTAAACAGCTTCAAGAATCCTTTGACAAGAGTTTGTCCCCTATTGACGCACCGATTGGCGGCGTGAAGATCTTCCCATCAGCCCCACCTCCTAAAGTCACTCCTGAAGTTCCCAAACCTGTTGCGCCAACTTTTTCGATGCCTCCACCACCGTTTGAACTGGACAAGAAAGAAGTAGTGGAAGAGCTGTGTGTGAAGAAAGACATCCACGAAAAGAAAGACTTCGTGCCAAGTTTGAGGCCAACGTCGCCTACCAGCAGACCCTGGTCATCATCATCAGACTTCGAGACTAGGTCCCACGTGTCTACCGATTTGTCTGAATACAGGTGTCACTCAGCTGCGTCCAGCCACCAGGAAATTCTGAGATCAACTTCGCCTAGACCATCAGCAGATGCTTTAGCAATGGAAAAGTCATGGGCTAAGAAGTGCGCAGAGTCGACTAGAAAGTCCTGGCCGCCTCAAGAGGAAGCTAAAGTGAAGCAGGATTGGCAGGTCCCTAGTGAAGATTATAAAACTTCTACGAAGGAATTCAAGCGCGAAGTGGAAGAGACACCTGAAGGCACCAAGAAGACCAGCATGGAGTCCTCCAGCACTACGGAGAAACGTTCTTGGAGCTCGAAGCAGGAGACGAGCGAGAAAGTGTGTACCAGGCCTGTTTCGCCACCTAGAGTTCAGCCTATCATCTACAACGCGGAGACGATCAAAGTGGACCACACAGTGAATAAAATCGAAGAGAAGTCCATGTTCGAGAAATATTCCAGCGAACGTGATATGAAAAAGTCAGAGGTGTCTGAGAAAATCGAACAATTTAGCTCGAAGAAATGGTCCGCTGCTGATGATCTGAAGGCACCTGGTCTGGTGAGGAGCGTAGAACCACCTAAGAAACCTGTTAGTCAGGTATACCGCCCACCAGAACCAATGCCAATGACAGGAGAAATCGTTTTAAAACCTGGCCCACCTCCTGAGATAGGCTATATACCAGCACCAGGGATCGAGGAGGTGAAGCTGGAAAAGGTTGATAAGGGATTCAAAGTGTCCAAAGAATACCAGACAACTAAAACACCTCCAGTAAGTGTCTCTCCAGCTCCTAAAAGAGAGGAGCCCCCAGCATTGCCACCAAAGGATGTTAGAATGACTCCTCCCCCGATACCTGCTAAGCAACCAGCTCAGGAGCCTCTGGAGCCGTTCCCATTTAAACCTGCCTCTGTACCATCACTCCCAAAGACACCTAAACCAGCTACTTCTGTTCCCACCCCTACCAAATTTGTTAAAGGAACCTTCACTCAAGAAAGTGATTACGAGTCAGACATAGACGGACACATGAAGGCAAAATGGAGGCCTTACGAAAGTGACACCGAAGAGCCTCGCTACAGAAGAGTCCAACCTCCAGTGGTCAAGCAGCCTAGCAGACCTAGGTCCACAGAACCTGAACCGCTTCCCCCTTCTAAGTTCGAAGTTCCACCGACGCCCACTGCTTTCTCAGCATCGACTATCAGCAAGCAGAGCCAAGAAACCATCAGCAAGCAGAGCCAGGAAACCATCAGCAAGAAGCAAACTATTGTAAAAAGGCAGGAAAGGGAGGTCAAGCAACAGCAGCAGCAACAGTATCAAGTGCCCCAGTCAACTCCAGTGGAACTGAAACCGGGTTCTCCTCCAATTTACGTTCAAACGGCCTCAAAGAGTCCAACCCCAAAGAGTCCTATGCCAAAGAGCCCATCCCCTAAGAGTCCAACTGTTAAGAAGCCGGAATCACCGAAATTTAAAGTGAAGACGTTCCAGCAGGAGAGTGGCTACATGGCTGACACTGATGAGCCTTTTCAGCAGAAAAGTTCTACGGCGTCTGTGCAGAAGAGTTTCGGTAAACACGAGTCCTCGTCGACCACTTCTCATTCTGAGTCCCGATCCTCTTACATGGAGAGTCGGTCAGAGATGTTTGAAAGCAAGAGTTACGAGAGTCATCAGAAGAAGATGGAGTCTTCGTTCGGCTCATCTAGTGCCGCGTCTCCTACTAAGACTGCCCAGCAACCGGGAAGTTATCAGCAGCGCAGCTCTTTCACGGAGAAGAGTTACAGCTCCGCAGGCAGCTCGCCGTCGAGATTCATGTCCACGAAGGTTCGAGACAACGTGTGTGCTGATGACGCTTTCCTTGTGTTGTTGCTCGATGGACTAACTTTGTGGAGCGATTTAGATGAGATTGTTCAGTTGGCTGTATGGAGCTGTGGTTCTTTGTTGGTTGAGAAGGGGAACATATTTTTGAAAAAAAATCTTCGCAAACATCTTCTTTCATTATTTTCTTGAGGAATTGATTTTCAATTCTTAGTTTATGTGGTAGTTGAAAGACTTAGAGAATTTATCGATATAGAGAACGCTAATTTTTATTAATTTAAATGGGGACTATTGTTTTATAAATACATTGTCCATTTTGACCAACAATGACTATAGTTTCATAAGGTATAATATAAAACATATTATTGCTTTTTCAGTTCACTTTTTTTAAAGAGTTCACGCATGGAATTGTTTTTACTGTTTGATTTAATAGGATAGAGTCACGAGACTGCTGATAGTTGACTACTTAGACCTTAATCAATTGATTAAAGATAAAGATTTTAGATAGTATTAGTTATAGTCACATGTAACTATTACTTACCAACAAATTCGTGATAGTATTTTTAGATTGTGGTCAGTGTATTGTTCCAATAAATGGTACATTTATTTATATAGAACATTTATCGTTTTTCTTCTAGGAAACTCTTTATACCGCGGATCAGTCGCAGAAAAAGTTGGAGACATCGAAGAAGATTCTGCCGCCCTCTCCGAGTCCTTCAAAGTTCGTGAAGAGTGAATTTCGTGAAAGCGACTACGAGAGCGACTATGACAGCAGAATACCGCCACTTTGGAAGCCACGAGGCTATGAAAGCGACGACCAGACTTTCAGACCCGTGAAACCTAATCTATCTGGTCCAGGTATTTACGATTCTCAATATAATAAGAACTATGACTTTCTTAAATTCAAACATTCGAAAAGGAATTAGACAACGAAAGACGATAAGAGATTTTATTAACCCAATCAAAAATTGTAGATTGCAGTTATTATTTTAATAACTACTTCAGTTACAATATCTTTCTCTAATTTATAAAAATTCATTTGTAACGAATGATAAGTGGAATTTAATTCTCTCTATTGTATATATATCTGCCATTCTATAAAATTCGAATCCTGTAATTATTCTGAATTGTACGCAAGGTAATTTTGTGGAAACATATTTTTACTATTATATGTACAAAGTAGGTACTCTTCGTTTTTTGTATTTATAATGAGGTAAATTGTATTTGAAGTGATAACAGTTGACCAAACTTGGATAATTTAAAAAATAACATTAAGTAAGAAAATTAATTACATTTAAAATTAATTATATTTAAATATACAACTTTAAATTTCTACCAAATTATCTTACGGTACATCAAACATTTCATATACCTATAATGCATATCTTTATCATTCTGAATCGTTCCAATACGAATTATAAATGACATCGACATGAATAGTCCTTTTCACCAGCCACAAACAAAATGGTGGCTGGTTTTCGCAAAGAAAATACTCCATGTAAATACACAAAGAGTAATTTTCCAAGAATGTCGGTAGAACACAATGGAACAGCTTCTACCAATGGGTCTCACGCAATTTCGACTTTTTTCCAGCTTACGACAAGTAGTCCTCCTGGCAAGCTTTCTTCCCTTCTCGTTGTTTACCTCGCAAGACAAGTTCTCCTCTGTCCCCAAGCTTCGCTTGCTTCTCTATATTCTTCTCGGCCACTCGAAGTACGTACCAGAGTTCCCCCGCTTTCTCTTCACCCTCTGGCTAGTGGCTAACCCGCCCCCCTTCTTATTTTTCTTCTTTGTCACCCGTCTTCTCTATTTCGTCACTGTCATGCTGGTTTCACCTTCGTTCTAAACCAAAAAGCCAAAATCAAAACGTAAAACCGAAACGATACAAAAAGCACAGAAATACGACACGCTGTAAAATAAAAGAATATCATTGGACATCGCGAATCGTGTCACCAACCCATCGATAACAGTCCCCGAAAGTCGTCGAAAGAGCAAAAAGTCGCTCGAGAGAACCGGTGCTCGAACGCACCCGGACCCTACAAGCAACGTCGCGTGAAACCGGTCTCCAGGCGCAACGCTCACCCTCTGTCCGCTTTCTTCGGCGACCCACTGATCAACCGAGGTGTCACCCGAAGGCAACTATTTTCTACCGATAGGCAAGCCAAAGGAGCCTCCGTTGCTGATCGAAGAGGTTTCGAGGCCGAAACAGCCCGAGAAGAAGGACGAGAGACGCGTCGCTACGCCGACCAAGACCAAAAGCGTCTTGCTACCTGGCTCTCCGCCGGAAATCGCTTACGCGCCGCCACAATCGCAGCCAACCTACTACGAAGCTCGTTCCGGGATACCGTTCCATAATGCGATTGGCACTGAGACGAAGAAGACGGTTAGAATGGACGAATCGACGGAGAACAGCAGGAGGATCGTTACTATGGAACAGACCAGTCGGGTTATCAAGTTTGGGGATACCCAAAAGACGGCTACTGATTTCGGTAGCTTCGAGACTGCTCCGCCTGCACAGAAGCATAAGCCACAGTACAGAGTACCGGTCCCAAAGAAGTTCGTTCAGGGTCAGTTCAAAGAGTCCGATTACGAGAGCGACATTGACACCAGGATCAAACCTAAATGGGCACCTCCAGACAGTGACACTGAAGAGCCAAGATATAGAAAGGTTCAGCCACCTGCCATAAAGTCTCCTAGGTCTTCTAGCGCCCCAGTTAGGCAGGAACACGTGGTGTCGCCTATGGAATTCGATAGAGGACCACCTGTCCTAAAGAAACAGACTTCGATGACGCAGCTTAGGGACGACAGAACGAGGAAGATCGACACGGAGACGAAGAGAGAGGCTGCTTCCAAGAGGGAGGAGCTGAAGCCTGGCTCGCCACCAGAGTTTGGGTTCATTTCGAGGACGGATGTGAAGAAGGCAGCGAATCGTAAGAGTCAATGTCTCTGTTAAGCGCATGCTTACTTGGCGCAGGGTGCTTTCGTTAGGGATGGAGGGACTTGATAAGAGGATTAGAGACTGGTTCTTGATGAATTAGCAGCGGTTTAGGAGATCTGTTTTCTTTGAGATTCTGCAGACTTTAGAATGGAATCTCTGCAGTGTGTTTATTGAGTAGTTTCGAGATTATTGAGTTGTTTGAAGAATAAATTGTTAGGAGACTTTCAGTGATGATTATGTCTTTAAAATATTTGGGTGTTTCGATTAAGTTGGACATTTGAATTATTTGAAATGAAAAACTGACTGAGAGGCACCTGTATGTATTTTAAGAGCTCCAATTGTTCATGACAAAAAAGATCATCTTATAATTATTTTGAATGTCATTTTGGGTTACTGCCGTCTTTTTCTACGGTAGATTAAAATCGTTTGTTTTAATAATATGATATTGTAGGGTAAAAATCTTCATTGTAGAAAAATTCTGAAACTACATGGATACTTCTCAGTCATTTACTTTTATCACTTTTACTATGATAATAATTTCGACCGATCTAAGAGACATTCTGTTCATCATTCTTTCGAATTTATATTTCCGTTACTCTTCGATCGTACGTCATTTTAATCGTCACGCCCATCGACATTTTTCATTCATTAACTTTTCTGTCGTCTCGCATCCTCCTTCGCTTGCGCGCAAAAAGAAACAATTCGCTGGCAAGATCGCTCTCTTCCCCGCTCCGTAACACGAAAAATCTGAAACATCCGCAGACGTCGCGTCACGTCACATGAGCGACATGACCAGCAGCTTCAAGTCGAAAACCGAGAAATTCGTCAGCGACATCCAGTCGGATCTGAAGCAGGGCAAGCCGATCCTGAAGCATCCGGTCGACAGCCGAGCCACCGATGCTGACGAGCCGCGAACATACAGAGAGGAGTCACGGCTCTCGGAACACGGTAAACGATTTAACAACAGTACATTATCAAAAATTTGCATGAGGGAACTACGATTTTCAACGTTCGAGTAAAATATTCTGAAAGAGAACATCGATACAAATGAAGCTCCACAATTTGAAACGTATTCACTGCATATTGATTTCACTAGATTTGAACCGCGGAAAGAATTTTTCTAATTCTTCATTAGTCGATAAAAGATTCGTAACATTTTATTATTTAAGATATCAAAAATTTTTAACACAAATTTGAATTTCTTGAAATGTTACTAATCAATCGAGCCGATCTGATTAAAAGACTTTCGTTTTCGAAAGAAAGATATTCAAAATTTCGAAGAAACACAGTATAACAATGCGATCAACCACAACAGTTAAGCCACTTCTTCTTTAAACTACATTAGCTCGATTCAATTTCCATTGCTTCTAATTCAATAGTAATTTCATTAAAGCAAACACATGATTATAAATATCAACACACACAAATATAAATACCAAAATATCGCCAATTAGTAAGCCTTAACGTCTTCGTCGAGTCGCCTAAGAGTCTCGTCAACTCCCACCGTTGCAATAAGAGGAATCAAACGAAATAGTCAAACTCCGCAAAACCCAGAATCATAACACACAAACCCTGACGGTGAACATCTAAATAAACCGTATCTCCGGGCACTGCCGACCGCAGGAACGAAGCAAATCGACCCGGACACCGGGCTGATATACTTCAAGTACGACTTCGGCTACGAGTTCGGGATCGTGTTGCCCGGCGAGGGAAAGAAGACAGTGGCCAGCACCAACCGAACGATACAGGGCCAGAGGCGCGCCAGCGACATCGAGGTGCCGATCGTCCACGAGTTCACCACGAGGAAGGAGAACGGTTTCGCGAAAAGAACATCGTCGACGACCCCTTCGAACCGCCAGGGGAAGCCTGCTGGTAAATTCGGCGCTTCGAAGACGGTGAAATGGGAGCCGACGTCGGAAAGCGAGTTCTCGGAGGCCGAGGACGTGAGAAACGCGAGAAAAAGGCACACGGACGGCGCGATGGCGCCGCCTAGCCTCGTCATACCTTGCTCGCCATCGCCATCCAGATGGGATCATACGACGCCCAGTCCGCTTTCCTTGAGCCCAAGCTTACCGAGCCTTTCCCCCAGATACAGTAGCGCAACCGGACCACCTAGCAACGTCGACTCCGCAGGTACTGGCCTGCTACTGTCAGCGATTCGCGGCGAGATTTGGCTGTTGCTCGGTGTTGTAACATGGATTCTTGAATGTTTAACACGTTTACAACGGGCTGAATCATTGGTGGTACATGTTTGTCCCAGGGGACAGGATATGTCCCATCGGGCGGGCTGAGCTGTCAGTGGTACATGAATTTTTGCTACGTCATAGTAATTGGAAAATTGATCACTGTAGTTCAAAAATTTACATTATATACGTAGAAGAACTATTTATCTTTGCGAATTCCTTTAAAACATTGTACGTACAAAGGTGGTTGATTGTTTCAAAGACGGCAAAACGTAGAAAGAAATAAGAGAAAGTGCGAAGAACAAAGTCGCCCCATGGTGAGGACAGTAAATTCAGGCCCTGTTGCGAACGTGTTAACACGTTGATGCTGGCGTGTACCACCGGTGGCTTACACTTGAATGTTGTATCAGTCGACGTGTACCACTAATGGTTTACACTTTGGTGTCACATCTGATGGTGTGTACCATCAAATGTGTAGTTCGTTAAATTGATTTCGCAGATAGAAAACATTGTCATGTAGTTGAAAATTAATTCACTTATTGATAATTCCAATAATTTCAAGTATTTTAACAACTTCACCGTCAGATGAGCATAAATCTAAGTTAAAATCCTGGTGTTAAGGTGTTAATCCTTTAACTGTCGAGCCTGTGATACGTACATATAGTTAAACAAATTAAGCATTTTAGGAACGATTTTGTTCAATTCAGTTTGGCAGTTAAGGGGTTAAAGGTGTAGCTGTAGCTTTGAACTGTAAAAGAAGTCTTCAGTATTGAAGTTTTTATAATCGAATACTGGTGGTTTGATTCTTCGAGTGGAAACTTGAGCATTGATGGCTTTTAAGGCCCTGATTGTGTTTTTAAAGCTTTGAAGATTTAGCCTTTGAGCTTGTGCCTTGAAATTTCAAGGACTCGAGCGTTTTACAATACTATAGTTACTTCATCTGTTTTCATTTGCTTCTGGACACTTGTTACTACAGGTTTGCTTGATGAAGTCTACACCGCGTGTTTCTGAATCTGCTTTTGCTGTTTTATATATTTGCCTTTGGTTTTGATAAATTTTTGGTGGACATGGGTTGATCTTGAGTGTAATTAAGATTATTCGTGGTCTTTTAAATTAAATTTCTGAAATTCCAGGTTGAATTTTGTTTTGTTTAAAAACATTTTTGGCTTTCATGATCATATCGATACAAAAGTGGAGCAAAGTAAGGTTTCTCATTAAAAATTGTCTTAATTATTAAGAATAATTTTTCATTCCAACCCAATTTACACTCAAGATTTCGTTCAATTCAAACGCCAATTGAAGAGAATATTTTTCAGTTAACTCTGCTTGTTCTGTTGTAATTATCTAAAAAAAATATTGAAAAAATGTGTCTCCAGCTTCTTACCTTTGCATTTTTTGGTAATGCCTTCGTTTGTTCTTCGTGAGTTCCTTTTCGTTTTAACTCACTGAAATATGTTAAAAGAATGCTTCTTCATTGAGTTTCTTCCTAATGCAAGTCTTCTTCCTTGAATTTCGATTGTTTCCACTTCCCTTTTGATTTCATAAAAATACAAAACCTTTCTTCCTCATGAATATGTTACATCATACCGTTACTCGATCCACACTTACTAACTTTCGTATCACTTAACACATTTCATACGAATTTTCTTACAATGACAAACAATATCTTCTATTCTTCCAAAGAGGGAGGACCGATACACATTAAATTATTTTTAAACAATACCAAATGGAAGCTGTAAGATTCGATTTTCTAAAAAAACAAGGTGACATAAAATTCTCCTAGCAGGTCACGTTTATTTGAGTTCTTAGGAGATCGAATTTCACAACTTCCAGTCGTTATCATTTCAACTCCAATTCATCGCCTGCGACGATACGATCTACGGCTTCCCTCGCGAATATAACGTAAATAAACGCGCGAGGATGTTCAACGAGACTCAAGTTAAATCGAGCTGATTATTCTAGGATCACCGTGGCCAACTACGAACGGCGTGGCCTCGAGCAAAGAAGTGATTCAGCCTTATCTCGAAATACTACCGAAGAAAGCTCCACTTTTCATCACGGTAACGTGTCACAGAGTTTCAATTACTTTTTTAGTCTCAGTGGATTTTTTAATTTCGTGAATGATCGATTGCAGCCACTGAGAGACATCGCGGTGGTGAGCGGGCAAACAGCAAGATTCGAATGCATCGTCCAAGCTGAACCGCAGCCGAACATCCTTTGGTCGAAGGACGGTAGGATTGTCGAGAACTCTACGAGCCATGACATTCACTATAGAAATGGTGTTTGTCGTCTGACCATAGTGCGAGCCTTTCCCGGTACGTAGATAGTTGTTTGAAAAGTGAATTAAGAAATAAGAAAAAAAATGTGGATAAATATCGTTTAATAATTCGCTTTAATACGTGGTAAACAGAAAAATGGTAATCTTTATTAAATTTTTAGTAAAAGACGTTAAAAGCGACAACGTTAATTTGGAAATATCTCAAAGTAAAATTTACCTGAAATTTTAAAGAAGTATCTAATATTGGTTTCGAAACGTTTTAAAATAAATATTAAATCATGAATATTAAATTGATGTATTTCAAGATAGTAGTTAGTATTAGCAAAATGTTTCTAGTACGAGTGTACATTACCAAATGTTCTATTTCTTTTCAGAGGACGCTGGCACTTACGCGTGTACCGCAACTAACAGCTTAGGTTCAACGGTGACATCCGCCACGTTGCAGGTGCCAGGTAACAGACGATCAATATACGCGCCTCTTTAACAATGGCCGAGAAGGGATTTAATAAAAAGCAAAAAACAAACAATACACAATAATAATAAAACACAATCTAATACGAAGGTGGTGGAACATCGGGCCTCTAACTTCGTTTGACATCGTAATCACGAATTCACGTAAATTCACTCGTTTCATTGATCCGATGCGATGAAAAAGCAAGAACCGAACCAGCGAGCAACCCTCTGATCGATACCGAAGGAAATATTCTCGATATAAACCAGAATTCGAGTCACCGAGGTACATTGAAACAACGATTTCCCCATCCGAAAAACAACGAAAGTGCGCGTGACCATATTTCAACGAATAATCGCAAACGAACGGGCGATGAATGTCAGAGAAACGTTTGAAAAGTATTACGTCTTTGGATCGAAGAATATATATATAATGCTTCCCCGCGAAGCTTGCGATTGTTTTTGCTGCATTTTGTATACGATTATGTCGCGACAAGGGGCGAGGAGAACCTAGTCATTTGTAACCGAATAGTGAGAAGTCGAAGAAAACGAGACCAAGAGCCGCGTAACGATTCAGAAAAGCTGGTGGGACACGTCGTGTTTTTATTTAAACTACTTGATCAGCCCGTAGTGAGCTTTCCTCGAATGCATTTTTGTCTGTCGTTGTTGCCGTTGAACAATTTTGAAAACGCTTTTAAAAAAATAGTAGGTCTTTTTCTTCTCTCTCTCTCTGTTTCTATGCTCTCTTCATTTTACTTTTCTCTTCTTCTACCCTGTTTCCTTCCTTTTCTCCCAATTCTTTCTCGGGCTTCCCCCTTTCTACTCTTGTTCAGCACGCAGCGTACGCATTCATAAATATCTACTCTCCCCGTGGTTGTCTCTTATCTGTCCCTTCATTTTTCTTTTGACCGCCCTGTCATAGCATAGAATCGTCATATTTTGTTTCTTTTTTTCCATACTTTTTGAGGGAATCTCGCGGCAACCGAGATCCATCGCGAACGAGACAGTCGGGACCGACAAGATGGCGGCACGCGCCGCGTACCTCGTTCGAATTGAACGCGGGAAATTCGAACGCCATCCGCGACTCGAAACGATCTTATCGCGAACGCCGTGATTCTGTTCGAAAAATAATAATGCTAGTCACTTCGCGCGAGCAAGAGAATAATTATTTATTTATAAGCGAAAAAATCGAATAACGTGGTTGCAGGGAGAACGTTTGCTATTCGCGTTTGCTATATCATGACACTTGTTTCGATGTTATTGGCTTGTTTCATGATTGTAGTAGTTTATGAAACGTATTTGTTCACTCGTTGCTTAAAACAAAAAAATAGAGAAAGATCGAATATGGAAGAAGATCGTACATCAGAGATTGTTATAATCCACATTGTCATTCGTTGTTGCAACGATTTATTGATATATTGTGTAAATAAACGTGTGCTTCCTCTGCAATACAAAAAAATCATGGGTATTACGGTGTACGAGCAATTATTTTTCTCTCAACCTTCACTCCCGTCCCCGATCTCTGTCTTTTCTATTCTGTCGCTGGTTGTTCTCTGCTGATAGTACGGTTTTCATTTGTTGGAGCAAGACAACGCTGGTTATGGTGCAGAATGGTAGGTTCTATGCTAATTTAGCTGGTATATTGCATGCTGTAGTATAAGAGGTGAAATTAATTAACATTGTTCCTCCATTAGTTGATCTGGATTGCTTTTTAACCTTTTCCTTTATAAGGTACTCTCTGATCACAAGTGGATATTGAAAAGAGATTCACAGTTTTAGTAACCGTTCGAAAATTTCTCATTTTTTTGTTGGTAGAGTTTCCTTGTAGAACCTAGGAATTTTTTTATTTCACTAATTTTTTAAACTAAACTATCATATACATAAGAAAGTAACTCTTGTATGTCTAATATATTTTAAATTTCTTTTCAAATATCTGTACAACGTACTAACTTTCTAACACATTTTAGAAACATAGATTAATTGTAAATAATAGCCATGCATTATAGTTAAATGAAATGTTATAAACATTTAGAATATATAATATGAATATCCTAAGGATATAATGATCCCCTAAAATGACTGAAATTGCAATTTTATTTTAAAATAAGTATTTTGTCCTCTTAAGAAAAAAATTCTTTTATTCTTAATTCCAAACAAACATCGAATAAATTAATCAAACATACTATATAAATATTAAATATTTGGATAGTGAATAAATACTATGTTAAGACAACGTATCAAGGTCATCTGGTCCCATTACGTGTTTATGTTGGTTTGAATAAATTTGCATACTTCATTGATTTTGAATAACTATACTACATACATTTTTAACACATTGAGTCCTTAAATGGTAACCGAAAAAATTAATTATTATCGGACAAACTGTAATCACAAATTTTTCGTCTGGACTTGTCGAAAAATGAAATTTATTAGAGAATTCATTCATGGTTTTTCTGAGAACAGAATAAATTAAAAAGTTAAAGTGTAATAAAAGGGATGTTCAACGCTGTGATAATGCGTCGAAAGCATTGTTCCGCGTTGTTCTTGTTGCATGATTAGTCATAAGTATTTCAAGCACCCACTTATTTCGGGAGGGAAAAAGAAATATATAGAACACAACATCACTACCAACATTTCATATTACTAACACAAACACGCCGGTGTTTGTGCGTCTCGTGAGATTATTAATTGAACTTCTTGTTAGTCATCTATATCAGTAAATCAAGTATATATTTGAACATGTGAAATTTGATACAGAATTTTGTCGAATTACGTGATGGCAATTCAAAAAAAGGTGTATGGTTAATTCAGTTTAAACGTTGAAGATCAATTAATAAATTGTTAATAAAATCGCTTGAAATTTCTTTTCGCTGGAAGCACTTTTTTGGAAAAGAATTTATTTAATTTGTGATATAATAAATATCAAGTATTATTATTAGGCTTATTGTAAGTAAAAATTAATTATCGATTCGTTAATATAACCAATACCCTTCTTCAATTGTAACATTGAAACCTTTAATACTAAAATTCTTTTTCGTACAAAAAATATCTTCATTAATCAACAAAAATGATATTCTTAGAGGGTTAACTACTTTAATTACTTAATTAATAAACACAAACATGGACACATGAAAATACGTATATAGTATACCCATTATACAACAGTATTTAGTTAAAACTAAATAAAATCGGCATCCACATCCATAAATGTGCCGTTAATTTTAATAGTGCATATGAAGTAAGTCATATATTATTCATTTCGAGATATTTAAGTTTTTATGTTTGAATAGATTACAAAATATTTTTATGTTACGTAACAGAATATTTCAGAAAATATTTGGTAACGAAAAATGAGAATTTATTACGACTGAAATATGATTTTTGTCATGTTTTTTTCATTTTCAAAATTAAGGGTACAGGCAGATTACGTAATTTTACTGATGAAATCGAATGATTATAATTAATGAACTTCCATCTCGTTAAGTTGCCATTAGAACGACACACTTCTGGAGTATGTAATTTTATACGATCCGTTCCACGGTTCGCCGGGGGTCCAATGAACGTACTCGTAAGCGGAGATTAATATTTTTGGAAGGATCAAATACTCGAATGTTCCCATGCACGATGAACGGCTCTCGGATGATGCGGTATGAAAATAGACGGTAAGGTAATCCCGGAATGCGATGGAAAATATGAGTCGACGATCCAAGAATAAACGAGAGAAAAACAAGCGGTTACGATTGTTAAAGATCTTCTTACTATTTCTCCCCCATTTTTTCAGGGAAACGCGTCATAGTCGTTCCGATTGTTAAATCTTACTTCACACGAATCACATCTGGAGTTCTCGTACTTCTTTTCATCATTCGTGCTGTATATAATCTCGTTCTGGCTATAATCATTTTTAATCTATTTTTTAAAGCTCATTCTAACTAATAAATAAAGTAAACAAGAAACTAATAAAGCAAAGTTCTTAAAAATTTGTAATTATTTATTGAAAATGTATCAAATATAAAGGTCAATAGAAACTTAACAGAATTTTAGATCAGCTTTGATCGAAAGTATTATTTATAAACTATTATACATGTATGTGTATTATGAAAAATATGATCCTTTTTCTTTCATATATGTACAGAAATGAAAAGTTGTATAAAAAGCTAGCATTCCAACGTTCATATTAATAACAATACTATTTTATTACGTATACAAATTTTAACTTAGTCGACAAGTCTAAACTTTAGAACTCTTAATATTTTATCAAAAAATAAGTTATTAATATAATAAATTAATTCTTCCTCTGGTTTATAATTTAACTTTTCATTCAACATGTGACAGAAGAGCCAATACATAATAGGATGCGAAATAATCGGTCATTACTTAATTTACACATTCGATAGCTTATCCTACTGCCCGAGATTTGTGGCAGTTCTCCAGTTCGAATCGACTGAATTTTACGGCGATGCTTGTTGATTAAATAGAAGATGTCAGCTGCTGCCCCCGTTCGCTGATAAGTCGCTATTCAGTTCGAAATCAGTTGAATGAACCACAGCTATATACTCATTGATGATTTAGGAGAAGAATATTTTATTTTTCATCTTTAATGTCTCTCGAAGGTTACAGTTTTTGGCACGACTTCTGTCGAAAATCATTTTAACACTTCATCAAGTTGGAACGATTTGTTAGGTCTTCACGGTTAATTAAATTTGTAAATTTTAGATTATGCTTTGGATTCTTTTTAATAATACTAAATTTATCTCATATCTCTGTAATATTATTTTTTAAATTTCTTAACATATTATTTACTTTCAATTAATATTTAATTAAGATATCGAAAATTTTCACAGTAATGCAATATGAAATATTTTTTAATTCTCGTACGATCTAATTAATTTTATAAATTTAAAACCTCATCTATAATGAATATTATTTAAGCATTCTCGCGATCTATCCGGGTATATTCTGTCAAGCATAAATCTGTAAAGTTTGCTGTCAACGCTTTTCACGTAGTCGTTCATAGGCAATTAAAACTAAATTAAAATAAATTTGCTGAAAGAAACATTGGAGTCATCATTTAAACGTTATTGCTGTGTGATATTTTAAATGGTGACTTAAAGTTTTGTTGCAATAAAGAATATTAATGGTGACGTTAGCGGTTCATCATAGTCAAAAATCAGGTTGACGTGATGATGGTTGATGACTGTTGGCTAAAGGAATCACTCATACGTGACAGCGATTATCGAGGTATTGAGGTCTCTTTTGAAAACATCAAAGAAGAAGTCAACAATTTTCATTAATATATTCACTATATTTGTAATAATTTGCAAATTATATAAAAAAATTGCAATTAAAAAATTTCAAGCTTAAAAGATTGAGATTTTTCAATTATAAACTTAATTTTTGACATCATTAAGTATACTTTAACAAAAATAATTAGTGTAAACGTCATAAAAGGTCATTGCACACCATCTCAAACAATTTAATCTACAGTATTCTGCAGAAGAGTATTAATTAACTTCACCAAATAGGCTTCTTTACTAAATTATATTATATTAAAGAAATTTCTATATGGGCTCCTTTCATGTTCTTATTTTAATACATCCTTTTTTCCGCGGAAGTAGACGGCTACTTAAGTCTATCTTTATTCGCTTTTAAGCTTCTTGGCATGCCAGTGTTGATGATAGCATTATAACCCATGCTGATTTCCTTCGAGTTCATTTCCGTGATTCATTATTTACAGCTATATGGGTATATGTGAGGTTCAACCATATGCGACTGAAATTTTGGTAGGTTAAAATAAATTCAATTTCCTAAATGTACTTTGTACGCGACCGTGATTCCCAGAAATCTCTGTCACTTTACAATTAGACATGATTATTCGCAGAAAGAGTAAACTAATTTAAATGTATTACCCGTAAACCGTGGAAAAATAAATTCTGATAAAAGTGATTACTAAGAGATATCAGGCAGAGATATAACGTCACTTTGAAAACAACTTTTTTCAATTTCTTTGTTATTGACTGCGAGTATTCCTAGTAACATTTTTGCCTTTTATTTCAAAATTCTTACAAATTAAAAAAGAACGGATTGAAAGGTAGTGGAAAATCGCGTCATTGAACATTTTAAAAAACCCACCTTGATTAAATGATTTTTGTTTTGAATCTACTAGAGTTAACAAAGTAAAGAAATTTTATATTTGACCATATTTCCCATACAGTTGATACAATATACATAATTTTATTATTTAGTACAGCAGAAAATTTAATGAAACGTAGAGACATAATTTTCAGTTCTTAATGGAGTATCTTAAAATATTTTATATTTAATTCTATTTACCGAAATATTTAAAAAATCATCGAAATCATTACATGGTTCCTTTTTACGTATTTTATATATTTATAAATGTTCAATCAGAAATTTAGTAAAACCAGTAGCTCTCTTTCTATAAATATTTATCCAACAATATTAACCTCCAGAGATATTCGAAAATTATATATTAATTTCAGGTGTGCCATCGCCATTTTACGGCACCTACCGCGACCAAAACGTCGCTGAAAGGACGATCGAGAGTCCACCGAAATACGTGGCTCTGAGGGACCTCTTTCTGCCGCAGGAGAACGACGTCAAGCACATGACTCCCATAAATCGTCAACAACAACATTACGATTTCTCCATGGAAACGAGCTTGTCCGCGGAACGCAGGTACACGACCAATTAACCCATTCGAGACGAATTACACACCAGGTGTGTAATGCAATATTTAACTAAAAATACCAAATGCACACACACAGTGTAACGTAACATTTAATAACGTAATAATTAATAAAGATTTAAATGTCTATCGATTTGAAGCTGAAAGCTCAGAAAATGTTTCGATAAGACAAATTTTTACCAAATTTTCAAACTATAAACCAAAAATAAGTTTTGTTTCCTGGAAAACTTTTTAAAAAACACCTCAATTTCAAATGGTTTAACCCCTAGACTTACACTATCGTGTCAAACTCGTGACATATATTTCAAACAGAAGATAATAAATATAAATATTATTCAGTTCCATTTAATTCGAATTTTATATTATGTTCCTATTATCGGTTTTAGAGTAAATATTACATTTAGGGTTCTTTTTGTTTCCCAGCAAATGAAAAACAAGAATTGTAAAAAATCAGAAATCATAGTGCAAGGGGTTGACCTAAGCCAATTAATTGATTCGCACGCGTAGACTAATCGATGGCGTTGTCTCTGTTAGTTACGCAGGTGGTAACTATTTGGAGAGGCAAAATGCGTCGGAAGAATGCGGCGAGATAACGAGTCGAAATCCGATAGCGAGGCGGCTCGAGTATTCCGATTTCGAGGCGAACGGTTTGTGTCACGATGCCGGTGATTTCTGCTACGATCGCGAATATTCCCCGTGCACTCCGTGGAAGGTGAAGCGTCCGGATAGCGGTAAGTGGTTTTTCGTTCCAAAATTAAGCATATTGTGGAACCTCGGTTATCCGATTCAATCGAGCGACTAGCAATCTAGATAAACGTAGACTCGAGAAGAGACTCCTGAAAGTTGCTCAGTTACATTGCATATGTCCTTAATTTTCAGACAACTATATAAAAATTTGAATGATCTGTATCGTGAAAAACATTGACTCGGTTAATGGAGATTCTACTGTATTTTTAAAAATTCCGGAAAACTCTGTGATCAACGCGTTGGATACCGTGTAGTCATCGGCCATTTTGCATATTTTACTTGAATCATTTTGTTAACTCGCGTAAAACAACGTAAGGCAACTTTTAAAATAATCGATTCTCCATAAAAGTATTAGATTGACCCATACGTCCTTTCTGCGCTGTCAATATAAAGCTGATCGAAATATTCGGAAGAAATCATTATAAGAAAGAAACTAAAGAAAATATTATATCAATACAAATTGTGTATAATCCAATAAAGTGACATAAAAGATAATGCTACGATATCATACATCCACTATTAACGCTAGAACTATCGTGCTCGTCAAAATGAAGAATTAACAATATTCAATATCCGGACTGATTTGAAAAATAAATCGTTTCACTTAAGTGTCACGACGAATATCTGAAGAAATCGAGATGAACATATTGTTACAATCTTTGTGACTACATATTAACCCTAATGAATGTTCGGTAGTTGCAGTGTTAATAAAACGAGAGATGCTTTTGAGACAGCCAAATATTCAAAAGTAAAAACCGAGGAAACTAGGAGGACCGGTGCAAATCATCGAGAAACATATTCGAAAGAAAATTGGCGTTCACCCGGTTAACGAGTATCAAACTCTGCTGGCATCGTTCGCTTGTCGTGTTGATTAATCGCCTCTGCACCGGTGTCCCATGCCGAAGACAACGAAGATCTTCGAGCCGCGGGAGCCTCGGTAACCCACATTCAGGGTCCTTCGGCCGATTACTCGTAGTCGCGGCCGTCCCGCGAAAATAGCATTCGACGGGTTGAACATAACCTGCATACACGCTTACGTGTTCGCACCGCACGGTTAGGTATCCTCGAGTCGCCAGTTTATACACAGGGGCCGCGGGCGAGGAACGCCAGCGCTCACACGGGGGGCTTCTAGCGGACTTGAAGCGGACGTTGAATCATAGACGACGCACCCCTTTCCGCTACGTCTCGCCGCGGATATCTCGGCCCGACCCTCGAAATAGACGCGTCGCTATGCGCTACCTTGGCGGACCACCGGTGATTCACTCGTGACCCATCTTTCGATGATCGCCGGAGCGATCCAGGTCCAGGATTAAGAGTCATAGAGTTAGTCGTGTTACTTTTCAGTTTTGCATGGGTGTTTTGTTTTGTTTTGCGTAGGAGATATTGGACGTCGCGTAAGAAGACTACTTTTCGATTTAAATCTTTTTTTGGACCGCTGGAGTCTGTAATACTGGTCTACGATTAAGGATCTTAATTTTGAATAGAGGATAATGAGGGTTGTATGAGAGGTCACTAGTGATAAATTTAAACCTCTTTTTGGATCCTACATAGTATCTAGAGGTGATGATTCACTTGCTACTCATTCCAATGATCGTTGAAGCTTACGATTTAGGTTCAGGAACAAGAATCTTGGAATTAGTTATCCATTTCTTATTTTTATATAGACATCTTAATCTACTGTTGAACGATGGAAATTGAAAACTTCGTAAAAAGCAAATTATATAAATTTGAAGCATATTCTTGGCTTTATATCAACCTACAATACATGTTTGGAATGAAAATTATGTCTGTAATTAGAAAATTTTAACATCTTGTAGAATAATTTTCCTATTCTACTTTTTAAGTATGATGACGTAGAAATAATTTACTTTCGAGGCGTTGATGTGTATGTTCCTACAGTCGGAGGGGCGAAAAGGGGTGGGAAAAATTAATTTATCTCTTAAAATGCATAATTTTCAATTTTTTCGTGAGTTATGCAAATATTAATATTTATAAAAGTATACATACACTTCTAATAGATTTTTTGTTTTGATACCTTTTTCTCAAAATTATTGAATACGGTCGACGTATTTCGAGGATTCAAAATTTCACATTTAAAACGTTCCACGAGTGATATTGCATCAGAGACTCCAGATTTATTGTTTACGTCACTAAAAACGCTATGCTGTAAAATATATATGCCACGATATTTTTATAAACTTTTCATTTCGTTATTCTCACACGAATACGCGTATATTTAGAGATTTCGCGGTGAATGCGTAACGCAAACATCTACGATCAAGTGTCAATGATTCACTGAACATACTGTAAGAATCTTTTCTAAAAATAATGCGGCAGCAGTCATTGTTTTGTAGAAGTTTCTTACACAAGCAGCAAGAAATGGAGTTTGAACCACATCAAATATTTTCGTTATTACTAAATACTTTAAAATTATCCTCATCTGAATAATAAAGTAACAAAAATTAATTGTATATAGCGACATTGATAACGAGTCACTTCGGTTCCTACAAAAGTCTGAGGAACTGCTCAAAAACGAAACTTTGTATTGTGCGTACATATTTTCTAATGTCTTCATTCGTGTATATGTCAAATATGTTACATCAGCCTCACCAAACGTAACAAGACACTGTCAGAATTGAATTTAGAACAACAAACTATATTAAATAATGCAGGCATTGATGTGAAACAAATAGTTATCTCGCTTTCGTCTTAGATAAAATGAGCATATGATATATTTGTCAAGGCCCCTGAAACTTTATTAGACATCTAAATTCTGTTTTGAAAGTAATGAAAATAGAATTTTCTGGTGCACGGTCGGAGGACAATATTGTCCAGACAGTCGTATTGCTGAATGAAACTCGCGATGGAACATAATTCATAGGTAACTATTGAAATGAAATATGGCGGATGCTTGAAACATTGAAAAATATTACATACATATCCTCCATATTTCCATTTCTTATAAATAAACAGAAATATCGTCGACTTTGAATAAGTAATCCTTTGCTCCATTACAAATTGAAAAATATAAAAAATGCAGATAAAGAATAAAAAGATAGGCAAAAATTAAAATAGAAAAAAAGCACAGAAAAGGAAGATAGAGAAAATTAAAATATACCTACTCTATGCGGTCGAACCTTCGCGAATATTTGGGAGAGCAACATTGGCTAGGAACATAGAAACAAAATCATGACAGATTTATCGTGGAAAGTCCACCAACTCTACATTTCACACGACAATTTCCCATTTCTCCGGCAACATTAAAAGCGACGGAACATACGCGCAAGCACAGTAAATAAATTCGAACAACGGGTGCTCCGAAACATCTGTCTCATTTTTGACATTGTGGTCAGATTTTGGCATGGCATCGCGGGCGGCTCGCATAAGCGTAACACGCGAGGATCCTCCACGTCCCAAAACTAAAAATAATTCTGGTCGGGAATCCGGTGCTGACGCGACCTCGCGGAAAGGTGCGAAATGAACTTCTTCGTTTTCCTATTTCTTTAATATAAAGTACACATGAACGAATGGATGTCTAGAAAAAATTCTGTGTTACACATCATCAATTTTAAAGAATGGAAAAATAAAATATTGGTCACTCTAGCGTTTGTACAAACGGTTGATGTAACATAGGCCTCTCTTTCGAATTAAAACATGCAAATAATAATTCTATGATTAAAAAGTAATTTCTCCTTGAAAAATACGAAATCGAAACAAGTCCATTTTTTCTCTTTGCGGATGAGCAATCAATTTGTGGTATGATATTTGCAAAATATAGACAATTTGTACATTTTATCTTTTTGTAATCTTTTTTTACTTTTCTTTCATGTTTCACCTCTGACATCTAGAGTAATAATTGAATTGCTCATTCGTCAAATTGACGAACTCCACTTTTTGAATTTGTTAACATTTTTTCTATGAAGCGTTTCATTGGCTCTTAACTCTTCATATTTAAATCGCCCTTGTTATTGCATGCGGCATCACGAAATAACAAAAATTCCTTTGGCCATGCAAAATTTGCAATAATAATAGAAATTACTTCAAAGTTATACAATTTTATATATTTTAAAGCTACACTTATAATAATGAAGAAAAATACGTTCCATAATGATTGTTTAATTTTCTATTTAAAGGGAAATTTGAAAAATCAATCGGATCACTTTTCTCCATTTTTTGTTTTGTGGAGTTAATCGATTGCTAATGAGTGGCTCAATTAAGTGGCAGAAGTTTGTAGAAAAATTGTTGAGAAAGTCCTTCTGTTAGATACCCGGTCAATTCGGGGAATTAACGGTCGCGAGCACGGATTCTGAGGTGGTGGTTGCGAAAGATCAGCGGCAAAAGGCGGAGTTTTCGCGATCGCGCTCGCGCCTGTCTATGTACGAGCGTGTGTGCCTCTCTTACCTCGTAACATGAGACCGAACGCATTGTACACTGTATACGATTCTTGCCGAGCTGTAATGTCTGAATTACACGCTCGCGCACGGCTGGATCTGACCCATAACTACCGCCTCGGATTAAAAGCAGAGGCCACTGGGGCTGGACCGAACGTTCCTTCTTAACAAAAAAGCTTTTTTTGGAAATGATACTTTTTGATAAATAGAAATAGAAGTTTTATTGAAAATATTATTCCTGGATAAATGGAAATGGAAATCTTTGGAAATATTAATTTTCGATAAGTAGACATAGAAGATATATTTTGAAAATATTACTTCTCAATAAATAGGAAAATTGTATTTTTTACTAATCTTCTGGTAGCTCCTTTTGGAGATTAAAAATACGAATTTTCAATAGTAACAAAAACTCATACAGCAAGGGATTAATACAATTCTGCCTAAATAAAGATTAGACATATTTCTCCCAGTCTTTCTATATATCTTAAACGTTACTCATGACAATTAATCACTTTCGATTCTTCACTAATTTCTACAAATTCAGAATAAACAAATAATTTCAATAATTTAACAATAATTTCAACAAATTTCAA